ATCCGACAAAGACGATAGTTATAGCGCGAGAACAGAACGACGGCAAAGGGACGTTCTGTTCTCGCGCTATAACTATCGTCATGTCATACCAACTAGCCCAAACCGCCACACATCCGACGAAGCATGCACATGCATTTGCGTAAACTCACGAAGCACGAATGATTGATTGATTGATATGTGGGGTTTAACGTCCCAAAACCACTATATGATTATGAGAGACGCCGTAGTGGAGGGCTCCGGAAATTTAGACCACCTGGGGTTCTTTAACGTGCACCCAAATCTGAGCACACGGGCCTACAACATTTCCGCCTCCATCGGAAATGCAGCCGCCGCAGCCGGGATTCGAACCCGCGCCCTGCGGGTCAGCAGCCGAGTACCTTAGCCACTAGACCACCGCGGCGGGGCTCACGAAGCACGAAGAGTGCGAGGCACCGACGAGAGAAGCCAACGGCGAGTAGTGGTAAGCTTCCCGAAAAATTCTCCGAATTCCGTTGGGCGACAGGCGCGACATCCATCGGCGCCCGGAAGAGGCGCCATCAGTTGTCATCCCATCCGCTGTCTAGCGAGACGATCCGCTTGTTCTTAACAGCTGCAGCCTCAAGTACGTTCGGTTCCAGGGCGTTTCCGCCTACAAGGCCATGCCAGGGTGCGTGCTTTCAAAAAAAAAAAAGAAAAAAAAAGATAGAAAATGCTGGGAACGAGGACTGTGGAAGCGAGGGACACCACCAAAAGGGATGACAGCCGGTTTCACTTGGAACCTTATCTTTGCCGACCACACGGCACTCCGTCAGAATCGCACACATCCGCAGTCGCGCACCTTAGAGAAGCCATTCCGAGACAAGAGAAGCCACAGAACCATCTGTTGTATTATTTTGTATACGACGAAAGCACTAAACGTCGAAAACCGTTTACTGCGCCGAATCTCTCTTTTTTCGCACCACCGCAGCAGCTCACTTCCCGACACACTCTTCTCGATAGGGAGCATCCTGTGGGCGTCTTTCTTCAACAGCACCTCGCTATCAACGACGTCGGTCCAGGAAGAGATGTTCCTATAGGCATTCGACAAATGTAGTTTGGCACGCGACAGCCACAGAGGAAGTTTTCGTTTTGCTCACTTGCTAACAAAATTAATGGGCTAGTCACTCGCATCTTCACTTTCCTGAAGTGTGGCAGCTTGGGCTAGTTGGTATGACATGACGATAGTTATAGCGCGAGAACAGAACGACGACACAGAGTGTCCTTCGTGTCCTTCTTGTCTCTGTGTCGTCGTTCTGTTCTCACACTATAAATATCGTCACTTTCCCGAGCTGTATCCACCTCGGCAAGCATACAGACACGGCCGCGGACGACCCGTTCAACATCCGGGCTATAAGTAACCCAATATATTGCCTATCATTAATGAGTACTATAAGCCGCCCTGATAAGGCGATAATCTTCCCACAAGTGCAAGCATCCGCAATTAGATAACTGCTTTGGCATACTTGATTCGGAATAGCGGAAAACCAGCCAAGCGCCCTTTGCGCCTCGTATCCGTGTAAACAAATAAGCTCGGGCGCTATTATCCACTTCCTACACGAGATCTATATACTTCATCATTTCTTATCGATAATGTCATGCAGCACTTCCACGCCGAGAAAGCAACAGTGTCTACTAAGCCGCCAGCTCAGTACGATGGCCACATTTGTGACTGAGGGGGTGTTTAGACAGAGGGGCCAAAGAGACCTGCAATCTTTCACTACCTGTTAACGTCATCCCCATCTAATCATTTCACCATTGTCCTTGAAGTACCTGCCCGTAACAGAGTGCAAAAAGGCAAGTTGACAACATCCCGCCACGGATGCGCAAATCCTCACACAGAGAATCGTCGGTGCTTCCAGCCGAACTTCTTTTCCTGCACCCTGGCTATCCGCGAGTCGATCGCGTATTTGCCACGGGACAAAACATTTCGCGCAAGTGCACTGACTATAATTTATAGTACAGTATGCAACCAGGACGTTTCTCCCAGCTTTCGTGCAAGCCTGTCTTTTTTTTTCTCTCGTTCTGTCGTACTGTCACATCGTCGGGTGGGACAAGGCCTCGGTCCATAACGGGAACGCCCCGCCGACGAACGACAACGATGATCGACCGACAGCCATTTCCCCAGAATAAAGCGAAACCAAAAAGAAAGGTCGGAAAACTAGAAAGAACTCGCAATGCGATACTATAAGAGAACAAAGAAGAGAAACAAATGGCAAACGCAGCAAATGAGAGCGCCGCAATCGGCCGACAGCACGCGACATAGCCCGGTCGGTACGTGAACGAAAACGGTGCACGACAGAGCTATGGATGGGGGGGTCTCATGGACCAAACGAGATCGTCAACCCTGCCGATTTACTGCCCGGCTAAAAGAGAAACTCTTAGGTCGCGAGGAGGCGTCACGCGATTCGACATCGCCTCTCCTCGAGAGCGGGTCGAACGGAGTGGGAGGCTCAAAAAGAGCCGAGCACTTATTTCTGCAAACCGGGCCGTTTTGGTCTCGCAAGTAGAGCCCAGCCGCTTGCTTTTTTTACTTCCTCTCACCGTCGGGGGATCCATCTCTTCTTTCTCGGAACGCCCGGCCGTGCCAGTGCCCAAAACTGACACGCACGCACACTGATGAGAGCAGAGAAGCAAGAACGAAAAAAAAAAAGTAATAAAGAAATGCTCGACGAGAGCTTCTACGTGCGCCGGAAAACGAGGCTATTTCGGTCTGCCATTCACAGCGGAGGCACTCGAGCCCCGAGCCGTGCCACTACGTACGTACACGCGCGCTGGTTTGCACCATTCCGTCACGAAAACCACGCGCGCACTACACAGAACACGCATAATGTGCGCGCCACGGCTCGTAGAATAGCGGGCTGCGCAGCACTTCGCAACGGTGTTGTACCTGAAGATAGTTATAGCGCGAAAACTGAACGACGACAAAGAGACAAGAAGGACACGAGCGCTCGTTCTGTTTTCGCGCTGTAACCGTCGTCATGTCATACCAACAAGCCCAAACTGCCACACTTCTACGGTGGTGTACCATCGTCAAGCAATGGGGGAGGGGGGGGGGACCGTTAGCGCAACCACAGTCCAATACTAAAGTTATCGAGGGACTAAGGTGGAACGTACTATCGGAGTCAGTTGAAGAAATCTTCCGCTCGCGAATACCTGTTTACCGAAAGCATACAACTTCGAGCAACAGCAGTGATGTGCATCAGTCGAGTTGAGCACGTAAGATGGTCGGTTTGGTCGCTGAAGGGTGAAGATAGTATATACCAGCCGGCGCAGATGTATAAACCAAGCTCGGGAGCTCGGTCTACACACCCCACCGAGCACTTGCTGCGGTAATATAGGATTGAAATCGCGTGTAATGCTCAGGACGGGGCGAAGATGTCCGGGAGCGCAACGCAAGATTCCTTATGCGCGTTTACGAGGAATGTCTATCCCCGATTCTTTATCGACACAGACTTTTTTTTTCAGCTGCGCAGCTGTGTAGTCATGCGCAGAACACAAAAAAATGCACCCGGTCAACGCAGACCACAATTCATAACGCCAACTTTTGCAATGCAGCAGGAGTGTATGACACATACGGGAACGGTAAATGGATCGTGATTTCGAAGAAAAAAAAAACACTTATTGCACTACCAAGTAAGCTGATACAAACATGCAGTCAGTGACGGCTCGCGAGATAGATGGTTATAGAGAAGGAAGAGCAAAAAAGCGAAACCGGATCAGTTATCAGTAGCTAAACGGTCGCAGGCGTTTCCGTGGCAGAGCGGCAAGGCATCGGCACACGCGAAAGCGAAGCATCACACGACCGTCATCGCCGTCTACAAGAGAGCATAAAGAGGAAACAAGGGGGAGTGGCAGGAACCAATAAATTGCATCCGCTGGCAGGGGCCCGCGCTCGCCGCAGGCCAGCCAGCGCCGACGCGACACATGAATCACAGCACTCGGAATTTCCGGATGACGCTCGAAGGCTCTGAAGAACAATCGATTGCTTCGTATTTGTCCGAAACGCTGCTACAAGACTCTACATACACAGACACACATGAAGGGATCGTCAAAAAGCACGGAATGTGACAAGATATTTCAACGCGGCCGTGTGACCCGCAGGCGAAATAAAGTAAACATTCTGCGAACGACAGCAGATATGTGCGGAGTTTTATCGTGTTTACGAACATCGCCGCTATCTTCTTCGCGATTAGGCTGACCAAAGCAGGAAAAACAGAACAGTTCTGCTACACTGTAGTTCTGCCATATACCCAACAACGGCCAAACGCACGCACATCAAACGGTGCGGGTCGAGCGAGTGAAACTTGCGAAAACCTGCGGGCAGCACGCGCTGCAAATCACTCTAATAAAGAAGTGCCGCACGATAAAAAAAGGAAACATTGCACTGCTTGCACGAGGGAAGTGCACAGAAAAGAAAAAACTCACCAGACTCTGCGCAGGCGTCCCCCGTCCGCGCTGGATTTGAGCTCCCCGATGTTGGCGTCTGTCACGGTGCGTGTGTCAAGTCTTTAGGCTTCGCGCGAAAGAAACACGTTCACAAAGAGTCGCTGCGCTACCTTGTCATGCAACTCGGCAGCTACCTGTCCCAGCTTACCGTTTTGGCGCACTGGACTACCATTACGCAAAGAGCTACCGCACCGCTTTTCAGAAACAAGCAAAAAAAGCGAGCCTCGTCCCAGCAAAAACATCGGCGGATCGGTTTTTGAGTGGCGGGCCCCCAAGCCGTTGCCAAAGCTGAACAACGAAATCCAACGCAAGACCAAACTTAAAAAAGTAATTTTTATTGGTAACTATTTGCTCTTTGTCACTGACAAAGGCACGTGTAAACACATATAAATTGTAAAAACATTTCTAAAGTGATTAAAAAAAGCGAACTAGTTTGATTACTTGGTGAGTAAAAGGAGCGCGAACTTCAAAAACAATCAAACAACAAGCGTAACAAAAAGTAGCAAGATGGCGGTGCGCAGCTAGCGTTGTGTAGTTCGTGTGGTGTGTTATCTCATGGTGCGTTATCTCACATTTTCTGTGATGTGTCTGATGTTGTCCCGTGTACTGTTTGGTGCCTGATACACAGTACTTCTCTCATGAATACTGTGCCCGTGCTGCTTGCTGGATTTTAATTACCAGCCAATGGCAACGAGCGAGGATGAAACTGATGTGTTCAGCCACCTCGGTCAAATCTTGGCCGATCCTCCACCAAAGAGAGACTTATGCAACAAGTGCAGGTAGGTTTAGATCTGACGTTTTTTTTTTTCTCGCTGTACACTTGCCGGCATGTCCAAAATCGGTCAATTATCTTGATAAATTCGTTTCAGACGGCCGCCTTCTGTTTGCTGGTGCTGTTCCTTACCGGCGACCCCGGTGGCTATTTCCAGTAAGGTTTACATCCTCCAGCATCCCGGAGAGGTACAGCTGGCATGTTTTCACCCCGATTTCAATGCCTACTACGAAGTTCGCAAAATCGCACATATTGTGCGAAGAAAAAGTGCTATGACCTATGTTTAAGTTCACGTGCATTTCGCAGGTGCTTTTGGAAAAATCCTGAACCAAACGAGCTAATGCAAAATGGTGAACTCAGTTTCACACGTGCGCGCAGTGTTAACAGCAAATTACAACAATTGCGCGCCTTCTCTGTAAAATGCATTGAGAAAGGTGAACGAAACGACGAATAAATGATAGGAAATAATTATACACAAGGGCGGCACCTTTGACGTAACAGCTAAACGTATCCTCGCTCGTTTTAGAATAGCGCACCTCGAGCCCTTGCGGTGCAATCGCTGCCACTGCGCATGCGTCGGAACGCGAACCACCGTTCGCGGCCCGCCCGCAGAAAATCCGGAATAGCGTGCGGCGATCGCGGCCCGCGAAGTGCTGTCTGTAGCTTCCGTGCATTTGGGTTTGCGGTCGGGGCGAAAGTCCCTAGACTTTTCCCTAGGGTGAGGAAACACTATTCTAAAGCTCGCACGGCGCCCGCAACTAAGAAAACGCCCGCAACACCTGCAAACGTTATTCTAAAACTCCCTAATGTCGGTAACCTGAAGTAAATACAAGTTGCTGTCACTCACACTAAAATGTGCAAAAGAAAATCACAATTTTTCAGAAATATCTATTGTTGCTTTACAACCCACCTTCACTGTGGTCATACTGGCAGTCACACATGCACCCCAACTTATTGGTATTCACGTATAGCACAGAGGTACCGAGTTGGAACATGCTCAGGTGAAAATTTGAGAGTTGGCTGCTAAGCTAGCTGTTAACCTTTCGATTTCGTTGTGTACTTGCAACCATGAAAAATTTCCAGTGTTGTGTTGTGGAAACTTGTTGCCAGCACTCTACCCTGCAAGTGACGTACTTCTCTCATCTTTAGATGAAACGGAACCTGTCCACAGCTCCCATGCTTGAGGCAGCACTTTCCAACGAGAGGTGCATAATTCTTCGAGGACGCAGGTTCTCACGGGAACGCTATGGGGCTCTAGAAAGCGTCCTTGCAAATGCTCCATCACCGGACACTGTGTTGCTGTATCCTGGGCCTGAGGCCAAAGATGTTCGATCATTAGACACTGTGCAACAGCGAGGGCACGGTTACAACATCGTCGTTTTAGATGGCACCTGGTCACAGGCTCGCTCGCTCTTCTTCAACAGCCCACAGCTGCATTCATTGCAGCAGGTAAGTGTGTCACCTTGAAAAGTATTTGCAAGAGAAACAAATGTTTGGCTTTGCACCAGGTGTGAGACACCTTTCGAACACACTGCCAGTTCTAGTTCACGCTAATTCTCTTTTATGCTCATGAAATCTACTGAAGACGCAGTGCTTGTGCGACTAAGTTAAGAATTTTATGAGCCACACAAAAAAAATGGGCATATTGCTCAAGTCACTAGTACATGCAGTAATCGTGCCCCAATGTGTAACAGTTTACTTAAATTAACCACTGTATTCCCTGTATTGTCATGTCTGGCAAGACCAGAGAGCATGAAATGGGTGCATTAATTGCAGTGCACCACACTTTTGCTGCAAGTGTACTGCAGTAGTCAACTTTTTTGAATAGTTTGCAAATAGCAATTCGAGGTCAAATCCATGTTATTAAACATCGAAGGGAAGGGCACTACAAGCGTGCATGTTTGGCTCGGTTACCCGGCGAGCAATTCTCTTGGCTTACTCGTATAGATTTAAATTTCATCCAGGTGCAGGTGAATGCTTCCCAGGCAAGCACCACACTTAAACTACTGCAGTAGTCAACCTTTTTTGTATAGTTTGCTAATAGCAATTCAAGGTCAGGTCCATGTTGCTAAACATGGAAGGAAAGGGTGCTACAAGCGCGCATGTTTGGTTACCTGGCGAGTAATTCTCTTGGCTTACTCGTATAGATTTAAATTCCATCCAGGTGCAGGTGAATGCTTCCCAGGCAAGCACCACACTTAAACTACTGCAGTAGTCAACCTTTTTTGTATAGTTTGCTAATAGCAATTCAAGGTCAGGTCCATGTTGCTAAACATGGAAGGAAAGGGTGCTACAAGCGCGCATGTTTGGTTACCTGGCGAGTAATTCTCTTGGCTTACTCGTATAGATTTAAATTCCATCCAGGTGCAGGTGAATGCTTCCCAGGCAAGCACCACACTTAAACTACTGCAGTAGTCAACCTTTTTTGTATAGTTTGCTAATAGCAATTCAAGGTCAGGTCCATGTTGCTAAACATGGAAGGAAAGGGTGCTACAAGCGTGCATGTTTGGTTATCTGGCGAGTAATTCTCTTGGCTTACTCGTATAGATTTAAATTCCATCCAGGTGCAGGTGAATGCTTCCCAGGCAAGCCACTATGTGATACGAACTCAGCCAACAAGTGAATGTCTTTCAACGGTGGAGACTGTGGCCTATGCTTTGGCAGCTCTCGAGGAGAAGCCGTATCTTCAAGAGGCAAGTTTATTTACAAACTAAAGTGACCTCTGTTAAAAGTAGAGCGAGTGTAAGAAATCAAGATGTGCAGATCACTTGCTGGCACATTAAGCTGCAGCTGATGGGAAATGAAATTCTTCATACATTATGTGCACCAGATGCCAGCACGCGCAAGCATGATGCTTTCCCATTCGCTGCATGCTTAGTTGTTTGGCTGGTACAGTGAGAGCTCGTTAATTTAAACTCAAAGGGAACCATACACTTGTTCCGATTCGCACGAGCGGATGGGCGCTCAAATGAACAGAAATCGTGTCAGGACTGTATGAGCAGAGGCCAAAGAAGCCACCTCTCATTTGGCATGTTTTTACAGCACATTGTGATCGCTCTGAGCTGACTTCTGAGAAGAGTGATCAGAAACCAGAAGCTCCCTAGTTCGAATTAACCATTGTGGATACCGATCCACTCGAATTTCTCGAGAGTTTTCTCCCATAGGAATACACAGGGCTGCGCCTGGGTCCAGAACATCAGTTAGAATTAACTGTAAGTTCTGATTAACAATCGTTTGCTGTAACTTGAATTTTTCGTCTTAGCACACAACAAAGAACATTGTGTAGTCAGCATAAGGAGTCAGCTCATGATGTGAATTGCACAACAGTGGCAAGATTATTCGTACGCATTTTATTTGCAATGTAATTGAGAGCAGTTTTAGACCAAAGCAAGAATGCCCGTGTGGCACGCTTTCTCACTCACTACTCGCTTGTAGGCTCGTATATGCGACTGTCCACATCTTATGATGATGCTTCTAAATGATATCTGGCAAATCGCCAAAGTTATAATGGCAACGACAAGCTTGTAATTTATTCACTCCTCTTTCTGTCATGCAGGTGTTGACAAAACCGCTGCAGACTTTGTGCCATTACCAGTTAGAATATGGCGCCGTGAAACATCAGAGCAAAGAGTTTCTCATTCAAAATGGACTATACATGAAGCCGTTGTCACGACGCATCATGCACAAGCTGGCACGCAATGAGGATCTCAAGGACGCTCTTAAGTGACCGTTTGCACGTTGTGACTCAATCAGATACGTGATCTGTGTTGTCTTGTGGAAGTTTGCAAGAGACCTGCTATTTAGGCGACTGCACAGTTGGCGGTTATTCCCTCTACTGAAGTCATTGTTAGAGCACCAAAACTACGTAGGTACCACTGCTAGGGCACTTAAGATTGTCCGTGTGTACACTTTTATTTTATGCATAAGACATTTGCGTTTTCTTAAATGGGCAAGCTTGACGCACCAACCTTTTATTTCTAGTCTCTGTATCGATAACTGTGGAGCTGTATCTTTGCATCAAGTAAAATGATTGTAACCTATGCTAAGTACACACAGAATGATGCTCTAAAGGTATGCACATGCTACACACTCAACAAGTAGTCCCTTGTGTAGCAGACCTAACATTGAGAGGGAGACTTCAGCAAAAAAAAAAAAAAAAAATGAAATGTATCTTATGACCAGACAACATTACATCACCAAGTACAACACAATGTTCAATGGGAGTCCATTGCAGTCTCGCAACAGTTTACAAAGCAATAGAAGCAACAGCAACATACAATAAACTGTTTGGCAGTGTGAGTAAATAAAAAAGGCAAATGTTAGTATAATCCATTCATCACAGATACAGGGGCTAAAAAAATGAGTAATGTGGAAATTTACACGTGCAGGCGATTTCTTGAACACTGACAACCACCTAAAAGAAGCTCACATATTTCTGTTTCCGGTTCTGGTGTGAGCTTCTTTTGTAGCTTTGTACAACTTTCAACTAGACACCAAGGAACTTTTTTTTTTTTTTTCAAATGTCGGGACTAGAATGGCACAAAATGGCTGCCGTGCATGAGATTCTTAGCTGCCATCACAAATTGCAGTGCCTTCAACTTCACAGTGCACATATGTAAACAACACATTCCAAAAGCTCATGTAACTCCTTAACAGAGAGATAAGACCTGCTGTAGTAGTATGGGGATATTGAAAGATCACGTATTCTGAAGCTTCCTACAACTAACAACTTGTTGCGAGTTTTTAAAACTAAGTGAAAATACAATCAACATTACATTTAAAAAAGAACTTGGTACTGGCATCAAGCTGAACTAATAGTGAATAATCGTTCATAGCAGATTTGCATTTGTGTATATGCAGAAGATAAAACTGTTGTAAGCACTGCACCACCCCAAAACCTGAAGAAATATATTAGGTCTTGCAATGAATAATACCTCTAGCAAGCTATACATTTACAGTAAACACTCTTGTCATATTTACCACTCATTTCCATTAATGTGATCCTAATATATCATGCACCACAAACAAATAGAACAAAAGATTGTAAAGACAGTAAAAAAAAGTATTAGAAATTGACGCTTTTGAACGATGTAATTTAGCAAAACTGCACTTAATAAAAATTGCGAAATCTGCATTTCATTGAACTGTGCTTGAGACAGAATACCAATGCCTTAAGAGTAAGCACCCGCAATTGCAGGACAAAAGTCCACTTGGTTGTGTTGCAAGCGCCAGTTATCCAAATATCCAAACACTGAATAGGTTACACAAACACTGCTCCAGTAAAATTCGTGTAAGTGCACTGCAATTGAATTCTGAACAGTTTGTCACAGCAGAACACAAATTATAGCAGTGCGAGCTGCTAAATGCGTGCTGCATGGCGTCACAGTTGAGAAAGCAAGGTAAAAAGTCCTCAGATACCTTTACAAAAACTACGACAAGCATGTTACCTCAGCTTGCTCCCGCACTACGACCATATCTGCTGGCTGCTTCTTAAATTTGGGCACCCGATGAGAGGATGATAAACAGCTGGCTTTACAAGAGCTCTTTACCAAGCAGCACTGCTATATTTGTAACCCTTGCAAATGCTTCCCAATACAGGTTTCAACAGAATTGAAAGTTGGGCTAGTTGGATATGCATGGTATAACTGTCAGTTCATACAGACAGTTATACCATGCATATCCAAACTAGCCCAACTAGTCCTCTCTTCATTTCTGTTCATTCGTGCGCTCGAACTGACAGTTATACCAAACAATACAGGTTTCTCTGCCTGCAACATTTTAAATATGTGACAACATGATAAACAGACATTTTAGATTTCTCAAGGGCACTGTCAAAGTGAATGCGCACTTCCTCCTTCTGTTGGACTTGTCTGAAATCACTGTTACAGTTGTAAAGTGCACCTCTCGGCTGACTTATTAACAACAGTGCAGTGACTTCGCCAAGTGCCCAGTTGACATAACTGAATCTTGTCAAGAGGGTTGGTACTACAGGTTGCTAACCATACCATTGCCAGTAGACCCGAATTCTAGATGCTCTGGTCTGGCGCATGTATCTGCGACCAAGCAAAAACTCTCAGAACCACACGAAACATGGCTGGTTGTTCACCCTGAAGTGAAGAGTTCCAAGAGAGAGCCCAATTGATCGTGAAGCACAAGAACCGCTGCGGTGCATACTGCTACCCCTGCATTCAATATTGGGGACCTTGCAAGCACTTTGGTTCTCAGGCTAAAACTTTCAGCAGGGGTACTACAGATATTACTGCTCCCAAAACTAGATACCGAGACCTTTTCGCTTTAGACGTGAAAGGAAACTACCTTTTATGTTCTATTCGAGAAGTTGAAAGGTGCAGTTGGCGGGCAACTAAACTAATGCAAGAGCCCCTCAATACGCGATTTCGTTTTCCCAGATACATTCAAAGTGCACGGTACACAATGTCCAAGCATACAGCATTCTTATACAAACGTGACACAGTTCTAGACCATTACCAAGACAAACATTCCTGAATTATTATTAGTGTGACAGTTCTGAGGGGCTTTACGAACAGGAGAAACTTAACGGATTATTTTCCATATGACTACTCAAATGACTTGAACGAACCGTGTATCAGCTGTGGCTCGGTGCTAAGAATTTTGAGTGCCGAGTTTCAATGAGTGATATGTAAAAGAAAGGAACTTAAAATGTTTAACGCAGTAAATATTGATCCTTTGCCGAGGTGCATTGCAAGGCGAGCTTCAGATTCATTGTGCCATCTAAAAGAAGGTAACAATAATAAATAAAGCACAATGCTTAACGGGGGTGGGGCACCCAACACAACCAACACAATTTTGTTGTCTTGTCGCGCATGCTGTCTGCGAAGCCTAACTTGCAAGAGATGTGCCTCTGTCTCTTCAGCGGCATTCACCAGGAAGTAGACACTATATCCCGTCAGTGCCGAACAGACTCGGTGACAGAAGCATCGGGAAGGCCATCCCAAAGGTGGCAGAGAGCCTCGCCAACACTGGGCTCAACTTCCTGCACAGAAATGCACAAGACCGGTTGAATGCAACAAGTGCGGTCGTGCTCCCTTCCACATTTGTAGCTGGTTATTCTGCATGCAATTAGTACGTTAGATGCTCTACTAACCTGGCCGTCTCGGCTAATCTGCACTTTCCGGTTCTCATTCCAGGGGTTCAACAGATGCCTGGTGTTCTGGAATGACAGGTTACACCTGTAATAGCAAACGTAAAAGATCGAAAATGTTCACATTACTATAGAATAGAATTAAAAATATGACTACACCTTAACCCGGGCCATTAAACAAGATTACTGAACAAGTTGATGGGTGCTTTATAGAATGTTTTGATAATTGATACTAAATAGTAAATAAATGGATGAATTAACAAACAATTCTATAGTATAAGATTATTAATCATGTTTGTACCTCAGAGCTATGTGAGATGTGATAGTGCAATGGTACAGGCAATCATCAACAGATTGGACGGTAAAAAATTGATAACTCGACAGGCAAATTGATGGGCACCCAAACTAATGCAAGAGCCCCTTGATACGGGAAGATTTTTAGCTGGAAGTTTAGCACCCACACAGAGAACAAGTGAGATAGCTAAATCATGCATTAGGCATGGGGCTATAGGGAAAAAAAAGTATAGATTTTTCGAATTGCTATTTCACTGTGTAATGTCTCCAGTTGTTAAGTGATCCTTGCCTGTGCTTCCATTTGATGAAGTAGAAACGGCCTCCCGAACTGCCATCATGATCATCAGTGGGCCAGTTCTTGTTGGCTGCTGGTCCCAGGAGCATCGCATAGCCTTGAAAGTGTCCACTTCCATGCACTGAGAATATCAGTATCACCTCCTTGCCTTCCTGTATGGGGAGAGCAGACAACGAGAATCAATGCAGCACATTCTCAACAATGAACATGGCATCCAATGATCATTAGGACAGTTGTGTCTGATGAATGTGCATGTTCCAAGATGACAAAATGAGGCTACTTATAGAAACTTTTCTTTTTTAAATGCAAGGTGTGACACACATCACAGTAATGCAAAATCGAACTTGCCTACATAATCATTTCCGTGTCGGTCCACCAATTGTAGTAGATGTGTCCAAATCTATACATGACAAATATTTTTTGCCATAGCACATTCAAGTAAGCTTGTGCAAATATTTGAATGCTTCAAATATTCCAACGAATATTAGAGTACTTAAATTCGCTTCGATTCTAGTTTAAGTCATTGAGAATTTCGAAGTATTTGCAATAAACGAAAAAGTGTCTATTAATTGGCATGTAACTGCTTGTAAAGGTGGTTTCACTGGGGTGAAGTAGTGTTTAACCATGAAAGCACCCTTCCAGAAAAAATCCGCTCTGCCATGATGCCCCACTTAAAGTTTAAAGGGGCTCTGCAACACTTTTTGAGCATAGTCAGAAAGCACTGCCGATCCTAGTTGAGGCTCCAAAAACACGCGAGTCGAACATTACAGCGCAGTACTCGGTCTACAAAAAAAGTCAGTTAAGAAATGCTCTCTTTTCTTGACAAATGACGCCAAGCTCAAAAATAACTCGTCGCAGCCATTGGCTTTCATGGTGCTCAGGGTCATTGCCCGGACCTCCGCGGGAGGGCCGCCACTTGTCGACGCGTGCATGCGCGCGACCGCACTGAAAAGCCGCGTATTCGGAAAAATAAAGGGCGGGGGGGGGGGGGGGGAGAGGAAGTGCGCAAGGTCACGAGGTGCGCGTGACGTATTTTCTTTGCCCCTGCCATCACTCCCTCTTTAGCTTCCATCACTTTCATCGGGACGAAAAGAGATAATGCATTTGTAGCATACGACAAATCTTTGCAACTCCACTCGAACTGGGCAGATTCTAAAGATTTTCGTAGGGGTGGATTTGTGAGGCAATAAGCTTCTTTAGTGATTTTATTCCATGGTTATATGAAAAACTGTTGCAGGACTCCTTTAATGAACACATCACCTTCAAATTGACTCATCTTTTAAGCTTAGATGCTTGTTATGACGACTTATATGCTCTAAATATAATAAATTTTAAAATCTTATGTATACTACAGGTTGTCATTTGCATCCTACCGAAACTGAAATGCGGCTACTAACTATTCAAAGTTCTTTAGACTTCCTATGAACGAACGAAAAATAAAAAAGGGATTCGCATACAGGCCTTATTTAAATTAAATAAAAAAATATTGCGCGGCTTTGGTCACGATAAATATATATGCCAAATTTTCTTTATGTGTCATATATAGTACTATTAGAATTCAATTCGTAATTATTAGACCAAAATCACTATTCGCTTTGAATTCACTTCGAACCTAAAATAAACTATTCGCACAAGCTTACATTTCAGAAATCTGCTCACTGTTTGGAAAGTGCCGTAATGAAAGACCACTTTTGGAAGAAAAGATTCCGAGACCTTGGCCAATGCATTCGTACATGCACTAGGTCATGAAAGTACGTAGCAATGTGCTTACTGTTCCTGAAGTCTATTGAACTTCACAAATGTTTGTGGACCACTAGCTAATGTTTGTGTCCTTTGTGTTCATGCTGTCTCTCATTGCTTTTTAACTCTTGTATTTTATCCATTGTTCTCCCTTTAGCCAACCAGACACGTCATTTAATAACCTTCCTGCTTTTGCTCTTCTCTTTTCCACCTGGGGAAACCAGACTGTATTTGCATGATTGCATGATTCTAAAATGAACTTTTTTTTTCTGAAAATAATCCTTCAAAAATACATGCGCACTACAATTGGGCTCAAAACTGTGGGGGTGCTGACACCCCCCCCTGTAAAGTTGTCTGCGCCGCGTGGCGCACGTGTCTCGCCCCAGGGCGTTATTTCGGTGGTGACCACCACCGGGCGATAGATGGCGTTGTGTTCGCTCTGAGTACCACTGTTGGTAGAGTGGCAGCGCCGGTGGTGGCCCCTGGCGGAAGGCAGGCCTTGGTGGTGGGCGAGCGTTGAGCGAGCCTCTTCTGCGCGTGGCGGCTGCCGCGAACGGTTGTCTGTAGCGCGGGTCCCCGGTGCTCGGCACCGCGGGCTTCGCGCCGGGGTCCCACGTGGAAAGTCAGGCGTTGGCGAAGCCGTCTTGGGTATGTGCTAGTGTGTTGAGTGTGTTAGTGTGTGTTTATCATGTTATTGTGTGTTTAGTGTGTCACTGGGTTATGTTGTTTGTATGGTAGCGTGTTAGTTGAAATGGGTGTATCATTCGGCAGACGATATCGTCGTCTAAATTAGTTAATAAATGTATGTATGTTGTGGGCTTTGTTCCGACCGTGTTCACTGTGTCCGTCACTCCAAGAGCGTGGCGTGGCGGTGCGCTCGTTCGCCTCGCCGGGACCCCACACTGGCTGCCCAACGTGGAGCTCTTGGAGTATCGGACGACAGTTTTTGCGGTTCGGTACAAGGATTTTGTTAGAGCCGGAGTAGAGTAGGCCTAGGGGGGACTTCTTTGCTAGCGTCGGTGGTGTGCTTTGTTGAGAAGCGAGGGGATTGGTTTTGTAACGTGTTTCAATTTGTCGGCAGGTTGACTTTCTATTTTTTTTTGCTCGCAAGTGTTCTTATCTTTTTGTTGTTAGTTTTCAAAAACGTTGTTGAATTAGGACGAGAGCCATGCGGTCCGCATCCTGGGGTGAGCAAGGCCTAGAGCACGTGGTTTGTAGGCCAGGCCCGAAGCGAGTGAGTACGGAAGCCTCGTGGGTGGTCCCATTTTCTGTAAATAGCTTCTTCTATATCTTTGGGCTCAGGGAGCCGGGCGTCGTTGCTGACTTGTATTGCGGCTCGACGCCGGGGCGTCGTGACACCGCCTGGGGCGGTGGACGCCGATCGCTCGGTAAGCTGCTGTGTGCGGCGAGCGATAGGGCCACCTCACAGAGTGGACGTCTCCTCGCGGCTGCCTCTTCTGCGCCTAGGCTGGGTGCTGGGTGGATGCCGGTTGTTGCCGAGCGACTCATTAGGCCTAAGGCTCTGCGCAGCCGCCTGTCGCACGTGGCACAACTAGGTGGATCGTAGCGTTGAGGTGTTGCGCTCTGCTTCCCTCACTTTTTTTTTCTTGTGAGCACGAGTTAGGAAAAGTGATTTTTGTTTTATTTTGATGGGCGTCTCGGCTGCCACCGATGTATTAGCTAGCAGTACTGACCACCGTACCACGTGGCCGAAAAGCCTGAAGCTCCCTCCCCTGGGCCGCGCTCCTTTGTTTCTTTCGAGTTTTGTTTTTTGTTGATGTATTCAGCGGGAGGGATGTCATCCACGGCCGACTGTCCTGCACATCGTCAGCGTCGTTGACCAGGAATGCGGTCGTGAGGTCGGGCGATGGAGATGCCTGGGACCTGCGCAAATGCCTGCAGTCCGGCGCCCTCGCGAGTGCTGGTCGCAACTGGAAGACGTGTCGGCGCTAGCGACGGATCGTCGCGCCGACGGCAACGTTGCTGTTGCGGGGCCGGTACTGAGGTGAAGCCTAGCCGGACAGTGCAGCAGTGTCGACCAGCGGCGGTGTCGTGGTGCAAGGACATTATGGTCGTGCGATATCATTTTTTGTTAAAGCTTGTGTAGCTAATTTTCGATTTCGGGATATGGTTTGATTTAAGGTTGGGGGAATGTGGGGGTGCTGACACCCCCCCCTGTAAAGTTGTCTGCGCCGCGTGGCGCACGTGTCTCGCCCCAGGGCGTTATTTCGGTGGTGACCACCACCGGGCGATAGATGGCGTTGTGTTCGCTCTGAGTACCACTGTTGGTAGAGTGGCAGCGCCGGTGGTGGCCCCTGGCGGAAGGCAGGCCTTGGTGGTGGGCGAGCGTTGAGCGAGCCTCTTCTGCGCGTGGCGGCTGCCGCGAACGGTTGTCTGTAGCGCGGGTCCCCGGTGCTCGGCACCGCGGGCTTCGCGCCGGGGTCCCACGTGGAAAGTCAGGCGTTGGCGACGCCGTCTTGGGTATGTGCTAGTGTGTTGAGTGTGTTAGTGTGTGTTTATCATGTTATTGTGTGTTTAGTGTGTCACTGGGTTATGTTGTTTGTATGGTAGCGTGTTAGTTGAAATGGGTGTATCATTCGGCAGACGATATCGTCGTCTAAATTAGTTAATAAATGTATGTATGTTGTGGGCTTTGTTCCGACCGTGTTCACTGTGTCCGTCACTCCAAGAGCGTGGCGTGGCGGTGCGCGCGTTCGCCTCGCCGGGACCCCACAAAACTCACTAACCAGAAACCCATAACTTCAAAACGAAAACGATGCAGTTCTATGACGATTTGCTAAACACACTGCTGTCAACATGAGCAAGCCGTCAATTTGGAGCAAGCCTGGGCCAGTATTCTGAAACGATTACAAACGGCCGACAGCATTGCCTTTGGTGACAAAGAATCTGGTGCGTTCAATAACCTGCCAGTGCAATGTGATCAGTGCACTTGCTGTTCATTTACAAATGACACAAGAGTGAGCGTTCTGCACGAGCGCAGAGCGACTCGAGCATGGCGTTTTCAAGTGCATGCTGGCTTCCACACAGTTGCCAGGCTTGGCTGTGGCTACTTGAAATACGTTAAAAGTGCTTTCAGCATCTTTTGTGCAATTGTTTAAAGCACAGCATATTGTTTAAAAAATGTCGCTCAGTCTAAAATGTATTATTCACGAGAAATGTGGGGGGGGGGGGGGGGAGGTGCTAACAACCCTTGTGAAGTCGTTTGTGCCTCGTGGCGCATGTGTTCACACATAGGCTGCATTCAGGGCTCGCAACTACTGAGCAGTAGGTGACGTCCTTGCGAGCATTTTAACACTATCATAATCATCATCATCACGGTTAGCGCGGTGGCGCTGGCAGTGATGCCTGGCTGGCGGCAAGGCTGGGTGGCAGCACATGAGAGATTGGCAGTCCTCTTTAGCCTGTGGCGAATGGTGCAAGCAGTCACCTTCCTGCGGCGAGTCTGTGGGGATGGCGCCGCAGGACGTTTACAGTGAGCCTGTCGTGGTAAGTCTAGTGTTGGAGACGCCGCCTTCGTGCTACCTTGTGTTTGTTCTTGTGTTGATTGAGTGTATTGGAAATATTGTACACGGTTGTGTCGGTTGTGTTTCAGCACGTTGATCACTAGTGAATTATTTGATTTGGCTGACAATATCGTCGAGGTCAAAGTAGTTGAATAAATGTGTTGTTTGGATGAGTCCGACAGCGTCTGCTGCGTCCATTCGCTCCAAGAGAGCGTGTCTCTGTTTGAGACCCCACAGAGTTTAACACGGCTTACTCAGAGGTCAGTTATGTTATGCCATCGTAGCGACATTGCGTCAACATCTGAACATGTTGGCCTCATGCTTTAAAAGGACACTAAAGGCAACTATTAAGTTGATGTTGATAGTTGAAACAGCGCTCCAGAAACCTTGTACTGTTACTTTTGTGCCAAGGAAGGGCCTCTTTTGAAATAAAATCTTGTTTTAGTGGTTCACATCGGGTTAGTGCACTTCAAATTACCCGCCTCAAAAAGCGGACCGACAGGACCAGCTTATGTCACTGTTGCCGTGCACAATGTTGCCCAACTTTACTGCACTAGTAGGAGCAGACCAAAAGCAGCAGGAGCCATAGCAGCAACAACAATGGTCTCCGAGATGGCAGGCACACACGCCTGCCCTCAGAAGACCATGGCACACATTTTTTGGTTTAACTGCACACCGCTAGATGGCACTACATTTCCAGCGTAACCACGTGAAAATTGAATTTTTGAACTACTCGTGCCATTCCCCATAGTAACGTCCGGCAGTTCTCTTTTTCATGAACCAAACAGAAACGAACAAGCAGCATTTTATTGCAGCTCTTGATGCACGGAAGGTTCTATATTTAGTGCAGCTAGGTCAATTACTAGTGGTTAATTGTAGGCGGTATGTCTGATGTAATCGGGATTATATTGAGAATGTTCTACAGCGGCCCTTGTGTTCTTGTGCATTTACTTAATTTCTCGGTAAGTAGGGCACTGTTGTTGATAACATTGTCGTTTTAGATGTTGTCATACATTGAGCTTTCACTCTGACGTAAATTGTTATTTGACTTTTAGTGTCCCTTTGAACCACATAAGCAATGCACAATTCATCTTCCTGGGACATTCAAACCACACACACACACACACAAAAAAAAACATGCTCGAAAAAGAACAAGAGAAAATGCACCAAGGTAACACCCGCTGAAAGGTTCAGTGTATAAAATGCTTCACAATCTACGAAGAATTGAATACAGTAGACGTCCTATTTCCCGGACCCTCGAAGGACCTTGAAAATGTCCGAAAATCAGGTAGTCCGGAAAAACAAGTGCAAACGAAAACATGCCCTTTGACAAATATTTTTTGCTGATGGAGAAAGTAGCAGCAGGAGTACAGGGCTCTCATCGCAATTCAACAAATGCATCGTTTAGGTGGCTCTGAAAAGAGCCGAAAGAAAGAAAAAGAATTCGATGTACCGTATAAACCGGACTATAGGTCGAGTGGGAATATAGGTCGACCCCCCAAGTTCAGGTTACCGAAAAAGAAAAAAAAAGGAAAACAACCCAAAACTGCCGAACCACATTTATTCGCGAATTGGCGCACCGCATCCCGATCGTCGGAGCTCCCCTCTACCACCATCGCAACTGCTCCTATTCGTCCGACGAAGCACCACTGGCTTCTGAAGACGAGAGTTTCTCCCTGACAGCCTCCCACAGTGCGTCGTCTTCAGTGCCATCCAGCGAGTTGCTGATGCAACATTTCTTGAAAGAATTTTCCACCATGGAATCCGGCAAGGAGCGCCAGGCGGAAAGCACCCAGCCACAAACAGTCACAAGCGGAGGCCACTGTAGGCGGCCCGTCGGTGTCTTGGGGTTGTCGCCGGACATCCACTCTTAGTATTCCAGCCGCACTCGGTCCTTGAACGGCTTGTTTAGTACAACGTCGAGCGGCTGGAGGGTGGACGTCATACCACCTGGTATCACTGCGAGGTCCGTTTTCCCGTCGCCGAGTGCGCGTTTCACTGCGTTGGTCAAGTGGCCACGAAACGCATCCAACACCAGCATGCTGCGAAGACGCAGCAGTGCACCTGGTCGACGGTTTCACACCACTCGTATCCATTCGAGCATCATGGCCTCGTCCATGTATCCCTTTTTGTTGACGCGAACGACAACACCGGGCGGGAACACTTCCTTCGGCATTGTCTTGCGTTTGAAAATGACGAAGGGCGGAAGCTTTCTACCATCTGCCGTGCATGCCAGCATGACGGTGAAGCGCGAGTGCTCGTTGCCAGTGAACAGCAGCTTCACATCCTTGGCGCCGCGTGATCGTGGTCGACGAAGGCATGTCAAACCACACGGGGGTCTCATCGGTGTTGCCAATCTGCCCCACCATGTAGTCGTTCTGCTCCCGAAGCCGGTTTATGAAGCGCTGAAAGTTTATGAGCTTGTCCTCGAACTCCTCCGGCAACTTTTGACAGATGGATGTGCGCCGTCGTAGAGAAAATCCTTTGCGTCGCATAAATCGACGCACCCAAGAGTTCGGTGCACGAAACTCTTCTCTCGTGAGCCCAGCTTCCCCGAGCGAGTTCCACGGCTTTCCTGCGAATGGTATCCACGGTCACTGGCAACGAGCGCGCTCGAACTTTCCGCACAAAGTCCGCTAGCTTATCCTCCAGCTGCGGATGAACGGCACTTCGTCCACGAAACGACATTTTTCGAGGATTGCACATCTGCAGCTTCCCTTTCTGCGCCCTCCAATAGCGCACGCTTTTTTCTGATACACCAAAGCGGCGCTGAGCAGCCATATTCTCGTTCGCTGCTGCGAACTTAACATCATCTAGTTTAAACGCAGCCGAGTACTGCCTCCTCGCACCGCTGGACATATTCAGTGAACGAAAAAAAAAAAGGCCAATAAAAATGCAGCGCAATGTCAAGCAGAGCGTAAACCGACGCTATCGCATTTGTAAGGCAGCTTTGTCGCAGTACAGAAGTGTGATGAGGTGAAGCATATTAAAAATCTGATGGGGTCACTTTTAGTCTGACGTTGACTGCATGCAAGCCAGAATATGGGTCGAACTAAAAAAAAAACAATGCAATGAAAAGTCGACTTTCATCTTGTATAATGGTTATTGACAGGAAAAAATGTGGAAGTCTCGCAACAATAGGCAGCTGAAGTCGAAAGCCTTCATTGCCATCGTGAGCGTCAGCAGCGGCACTGTTAGGCAAGGCTAGGCCTACAGTGTTCTAGCAACACTATTTTGCCTCGGTTATCTACTGTCAGTCAGCTCTTTTCTTTTTTCTATTTCCTTCAGCAATGAGCGGTAGTCGATGGCAATTTACGATTGGCTTTAGGAAAAAAGCTATTGAGTAAACGCAAGCGCACGGCAACCTGGCGGCACAACAGGAATTTGTTGCATCGAAAGAAAGCGTTCGATACTGGAGGAGTCAAAAGCAGTACATTGCATCCTGCAGCAACCAAAAAAAAAAAGTTTTGTGGACGGACTGCAGTGCACCCCGAACTGGAAACGCTTATCGCCGAATTCGTCCGGGAGCTGTGTGCAAGGTCGCTACCTGTAACAGCGGAGTGTATCCATGTGAAAGCTGGTTTCTGGGCATTAAATACTACTGCATGTTACAATCGTGAGCATGTTTAAATTGTGCAAATAGGGTGTTTCATTGCGCGTAGCCAAGGCAAATCCAACAATACGTGCAGCTTATGACTCTGCCTTACAGCCAAAAAAAATACCTTTTTCTCCCATGGCACCCAGTACTCTGCAGATTTCAGCAAAACACGAACACCCAGCTACAAACCCTGATTGCTGGCTGTATCTTGCGATCTGTGTTGGGTCCCAAGGACCACAGGCCCGTTGAAAGAGAGACATCCACAGCCCGGTGTGAGCCCGCCTTGATGATGAAGAATCGACGGTGACCAGTCACTGTGTGCCTGGGACTTGGGCCACACGGACTGGGCTGGCCACTGCTTGTTGAGCGCAGGGATGAGCAGTCGGACCGATCGTCCGAGCACCATGAGCTACCTGCATTCGCCAACACTTATACTAGAGCATGTGTCGTAAACGCGGCTTTTCAATCTCAAGATTCAGGTAGCCCGGGCTGTTAACCATGTCTGGGATACTTTTTTCCCTGAAGTAATTCAACAGCAAAAGCACACAGGGTTCCACTTTGCTTGTTCTTCGTTAGCAAAAATTTAGTGTAACTACGAACTGTTACCACTCTTTCGATAAGTACCTGCATTAAAGGTCGAGAAATAGACCTCTCACTGTTTGTAAACAATGTGACGTCACTGCGGGCAGCACCCTGCCCCCCCTACCCTCTCTCGGAGCAGGTGCTGGTTGGCAAGAAAACTCCTCCGGCGGCATCTTTCCGCATAACAGAGTTGCGTGTCTGCATTCCTTCAACAGAAATTTCTACATTGCTATGTTCTAAAGTCACAGCTTTTGAAATAAGGGGGTCGTGGAAGGTTCACTGCTCATAGTGTGTAAATATGCTCGTCGTAGTTGAATGGATGGAGAAACTTTGTTTGGAGTACTGAGAGACGCGACTGGCATGCAATGGCCTTCACCCACGCAGTTGGCAAACACCCACAAAAAAATCTGATATTTTTCAAAAGCGAACATTTTAAGTGTACATGGTTACTAGCACTTTGAGAAATATTTGCATGGCATGGATGTAAACTTATTCAATTTCCATTGTGGCATGTGCAATGCAGTTTTAAACGAAGTACAAGCAAAGATACCATCCGCCCCACCCTGGCAGCCGTGCATGATTCTGAGCTGCTGTGCGCAACGTCACGGATAAGATTGCCCAAAAATCTGATCGGAAATGAATGGAAAACAAAAAAAAAAAAACACTTCTTGCCGTGGGTTAGGCTGAGGTTAACATTTTCTCGTGAAAATCAAAGTAAAATTCTGCCGCTCCGTTTCTGAATAACCCGTAAAAATTCATGTGATGTAAAACTTGACATCTTAATAATATCTAATATTATATGGCACAGTTCGTACCTATATTGCTCCTTTAGGCCTGATACACACTCCATATGTGCATTGTCACTTCGTAAGGATCGAGCCGTAAAAGTACAAAGTAGATAAGAAACAAAAATAGACGTATCGGGCATTCGATAGTACGAGTTATAGCCGTGGTGAAGCGCTTATGCAGATTCGGCAACGCTACAACATGCTTATAGCTAATGCGTAGTCGTATATATCACCCCGAGATCATGCACTTTTATTTTTCTGCACGCTGTGCATTCGCTGAGATGTACTCACAGATGATCGCGTCAAATGTATTTCTGCCTTGACTACAATGTCAGATCGTAAAGTTTCATCAAAAACTGGTTACTGAAACCGAATATCGGTATTTTCGCAAACAGGACACATCGTGTTATTCAATACACTGCACACACCACGCACAATATTCCCAGTTTCACTGTCCGTAAAGGGAAACCAATATTGTCAATGCTTCTTAACGCACACTACACGCCACAGTTAACACTACACATTTTCGAAGACGATGCCGCTGTTCCTCGCACAGGCCGCCCCACGTCTTTATTTCTCCTAGCTAAAAAGCCAGCCAGCGTGGGGAATATTTCATCACGCACTTTATCACACACCTAGATGTTCTCTGACACATACCACAGCTAATGTTGCCACTGTGAGATGAAGATTAGGCTTTCGAAAACAAAAAAAAAAATAATTTCACCAAGCACTGAGCGACTGCACCCCACTCAGCCACCGGCGGGAGTGTTTTGCCAACCACCGCCTTGCACGTGCACCAGTGACGTCATGCTGTGACGCATTGCGGTAGAGGTCTATTGTGAAATCGGTTGTAAAATACTACAGCATATACTACTTGTTAGACACAATAATAATGAGATCGAACTGGCAATCATGCCAACGAAAGTATAGGAGATGTTACTAGAAGTAATTGTAATGTAAATGTGCTCGGATGATTACTTCTAATGATATTCCCTATATTTTATATTACAATTACTTCTAATACCATCCCCTAGACTTTCCTTGGCATGATTATCTCCTAGATATCGTTAGTAGTGTGTTAGTAGCGAAGAGAAAGGTTCTTTTGCTTCATGAAGTGCTGAATTTATAAATTGCTGGCTTTAAATGTGATAATCTGGACACCTCTGTCTCAATGTGATGGATTCTTTGTTTCATGTGCATCATTTCCGTTCACACTGCACAGCCGTCGCTCCACATCTCTGTTATGTGCGGCAGAAGCAAGTATTTTGTCTCCAGAAATATTCTGAGCTTGCCTCTGAAAGGGCACCTTTGAAAGGGCACCTCTGTGCATTTGTTTTTCTGAGTGTGCCTTTTTAGGAGCACGATTGTCGCACACATTTTACATCGGTCTCGAACTTCCGAACAACTGGTAGGAAATTTCAGAGATAAGAAAAATCTAAAAAATAAATGGCAGTGGCAAATGCACAAGTAATGTTTAAATACAGTCGAATCTCGATAATTCAAACTCGAAGGGGCCCGAAAATTAGTTCGAATTAAAAAAAGTTTGAATTAATGAAAGCTAAATAAATGAAGGGCTCTTCATGCAGTGTGCATGTGCATTCAGCTAACACATGAGGGGGAAGTTTCAGAAGACTTACATTTATTCGCAAATCACAGGACATCCGTTAATAATTGAAGTAATCGGTGATGCGCAACTGCACACGTTTGCTTTGGAGAGAGTCAATCGATTTTGCGCACAGTTAGCAAAGCATTTCTACTTCTGCTTCAGCATTCTTCTGGCAAGAGAAGTTGCACGCGGAAATGTCTAGCGCCGACACCTTCTAAAGACGACAACGACGACTGCGCAGCGGAGCCTCTCCGCTACGCAGCCGTAGCATGGCCAGCACGTGACGAGAAAGGAGGAGCGTCTCCACGCGGAGAGAAGCAGATCAGCATTTGAGAGAAAACCAATTTTTTTTTGCTCTCTTCGCGCGCGTCGTTGAATGGAGAAGGGTTACGTGGCAGGGATGGGAAAGGGGGAAGCGTGGCACCGGCACGTGAGAGACCCCCCCCCCCCTCAAGGCACAGAGCCGTGCTCCCGCAAGGGCTGCAGAAGATAGTGCCTTTTCCCTTTCCTTCAACCACACATTCATTCAACCTAGCGACAGCTTTCTTTTCTTTCCTGTCTTTGTTCGCACGTGGCATTGGAAGGAGAAGGGTCTTTATGTGACAGGGACGGAAAAGGGAGAAGCGTGACACGGTTGCGTTGCAGATCGGCATTTGAGAGAGAGCAAACACTCCACCGAAGCCTTTCCTTTTCCTTCGCGCGCAGCATTGAGCTGTCGCAGGTGCTTGCGCGTTCGAATTACCGGCCGTTTTTGCCCATTGGAATACACATAGCTTTGACGGGAACTCATCATGAATTCAAATTAACCGGAAGTTTGAATTAAGCGTGTTCGAATTAATGAGATTCGACTGTATACCTAAGTTCTGGGTGTAGATTTTACACAGGCGGAGCCATTGTACAAGTATAAACGATATTTTGCAGAGGTCAAAAAACTTGTGCCTGAAGCAAATTTGATCAAAATCAAGAATAGTAACCATGGAAACCTGTTAATTTTTACATGGATCTTCCATACTGTTTAAAAGCTGGCACATATCAAAGTCAAAATGTCTAAGATAGATAACTTTTATACCATGGTCCTTGTAGTACACCCCTACCTGCGTCTGAACGTCCCATACCCAAAGGAGTTGCTGGCAGACTGGCACCAGAGCCTCTACGAGAGGATGGTGATGAGCTCGGGCCATACTCCAAGGACCCTCCACGACGGAGGACCGCCCGCCGACCGGCAAAACCATCCGCCCCACCCTGGCTCCTGAGATCACTGGTGGAGAAGAACAAAAAAAAACATGGGCTCACAGCTACACTTTGTGTAATAGCCGCCAGAATGAAGAAAACATACAAACAAAACTTCAAAATGTGTGAAGTTACTATAACTTCATGTATTATCTGTTCAGCAGAAAAACAATGCAAAATAACAAAAAAAGGTATAGACAGACAATGACACCATCATCTGTCCTCTCTTTACATTTCATTCTTTCGTGCTATTTTTCCTGCTCAATTTATCCAGCCATAATTCAAGCACTTCTGCACTGCATATCCAATTTCCTATAATGCGCCAGGACACTGTACGTACTAAGCTTTAGAAGTTTCAGTATGACTGAAAAAAATGCTCATCAATCATTACCAGCAAAAGAAAATGAGACCGAACAAACCATTTCATGCGGGTGAAATCATCAAGCGTTTTTCTGACCATCACGAATATGACTAAACAAATTCCACATGTTTCTCAAAGTACGAAATTCATCCTGGTCATTTTCCTCCCTATTTATGAGAGTCTGTAGTTTGGCATCAACTGAGCTAGAGAGCATCAAACAACAATTTTTTTCAAAAAACGTTTTTGCTTTTGGAATGCACTGAATAAAATGGTATTCTTGACAAGGTAATGAAGTCTCCACCTTGCTCTCTATATAATAAAAGCACATCAGTGGAAAATGGGAGGAATCCTGCATAGCTCTGTAAACGCTTTCAGGGTTTCTCAAGGTGACAAATTACAAGAACCGTAATTCTACATTTGCTATGCAAAGGCAGTAAGAGAGAGAAAGACCACAATTCACAATAGCTGCAGATAAATGGCAATGAACCAACGTGCAACAAGACAAAGTGCATTACTCGGCCGCTGGTGGAGGTAACGAGTAGGCATCTGCACCAGACGGCCGTGGTCGCTGTCCAATGCCCGGAGGCGGTCGCGGAAGATTCAGGGCCTCTTCCTCCGACGTAAGCACGCCAACAACGGCACGAATCACGGCGTCATCTGACTGAGACCACGGCTTGCCTGGGGAATTCATGCGGCGCAGAAACAGTGCCTGCAGCTTCTGGCGCAGGTGCAATGCCAGGCGGCCACCCTGCAAGACAGGTTGGCAGAGTAATTAGTTGCTTAGTTTGGACCACAGGGGTTACGTGACAAAAGCACCTTCATTGGCCAACCCACAACTACTGTGACCTATCTGTGAGGCCAACAGTCAAAAAGACGAAAGCTGTTGTGACTGCCTTTTTCAACATAGGGGAAACGCCAGCAGGGTGCGTGTTCGAGAAAGCAGCTGCCCCCAGCTCCCACCCCCCTCTCCAGCAAGCATATTCAAAACGCAATGCGTAAGTTAACCTCTCCCCATCCTCTAAAAAGCTCATTTGTCATAGGTGCTTTCCCAATAAAACAATCCTGGTGCCGGGCCTGCTTTATTGTGGGTATGCAAACGATTTCACGAGAGATAAAAACTAGCTGTCATTTATCTGGTGCGATGTGCATTAGTGGAAGGGGATGTCGATGTGTGCCTGAATTGTGATAGTTTCACGACGCATAAATAGTGAGTGGTTGGGGTCAAGATAGATAGATAGATAGATATGTGGGGTTTAACATCCCAAAACCACCATATGATTATGAGAGACGCCGTAGTGGAGGGCTCCAAAAACTCCACCGGAAATGCAGCCGCCGCAGCCGGGATTCGATCCCGCGACATGCGGGTTAGCAGCTGAGTACCTTAGCCACTAGACCACCGCTGCAGGGCGTTGGGGTCAAGTGGAGAAACAGTGATAAATAGACAGAACAAGAACGTACACAGGCCCCGGCACTGACTAACAACCAAATATGTTTAGCCTCCCAATCAGCATACAGGGTGCTTCAAGAAATTAGTCTAATATTCTTTAAAAGTTACAGAAAGGAGATATCTGCTTGCTACTTGCGATGTTGCCTTTCCTGTGGCAGAACACATCTTCAGATGTTGTAAAAACATTAATTATGGCAGTAATTATAAAAATTCACACAATTAAAATAACTTTTAACCAGTGGCGATAGCCAGTCGAGTCAAATGGGCAAATTCAAGCCTTTCCTACGAATAGTTCATATGCACTTTGAAATTTTTGAAAAGCGGCCCTTGGTAATTACTGCAGAGCAATGAAATCTGGCCAAATTAGCTGGCGAAACCGAAAACTAAGCACTAATTAGCACATCTGCCATTCACTTCAACAACACCCTTAATGACGACACTGTTTCCCTCGCATTGGTGGAGAAGAATAAGCGAGCATTGATAAGCAGCCTCAAAGCGAAGTGTCTAAATTCATGGTTGATAACGGCGAGGGAAACAGTGTCATCACTGAGGGCGTTGTCGAAGTGAATGGTAGGTGCGCTGTTTGGTGCATCGGTTTTTGTTTCTCCATTGCATCGCTCCACAGTGATTACCAGTGGCCACTTTTCCAAAATTGCAAAGTGGCCTTGGATTATTCAAAGGAAGGGCTTGAAATTGCCCATTTGACTCAACCAGCTATCACTACTGGTTAAAAAGTTAATTGTGTTAATTTCTATAATTACTGCCATAATAATGTATTACAGATCTGAAAACACGTTCTGCCACAGGAAAGGCAATGCCACAAGTAACAAACATACAGATACCTCCGTTCTGTGATTTTTAAAGAACATTGGGCACATTTCTTGAAACACCCGGTATAATATATGTCACCACTGTTGCAACGAAAAAAGAGAAAAAATTAAAACTCGGCCTGTGCTTTTCTGTTTCAGTGAGATCGTGGTGAAGTATATGATATGCTGACTGCAAGAATAAAAATACATATTTGGTTATTAGTCAGTGCCGCCGTCCGTGTTCTTTCTTTTCTTGTCCTTCTAGTGCTGTTTTTCTACTGAAAATCCAAACCAACCAACCAAAATGCATACTCTACCGAGTTTCCAAGCTTTCTTCTTTATCTTTTTCATGACTGCAGTTCTTGTTTTAATAAAACATCCTCTAATGCTTTACTGCAACAGGTGCCTAAGAGAGATTTCCAAAGCACGTTCCTTATAGACTAGACATTTCACTGGCTACATAGAAAGCACTAAAGGGGCCCTAAAATACTTTTTCAGGTAACCATAGAATGGATTCACTAAAAGAGCTTATCGCCTCAAAATTCAAAGCCACAAAAATTTTGAGAATCCGTCCATTATGAGCGGAGTTACAAAGATTTGTCGCATGCTGCGATCGCATTCTCTCTTCTCTCATACTAACGAAAGCGCTTGAAGCTAAGCAGGGAGGAATGGGAGGGGCAAACAAAAATGTCACGCACGCCTCGTGACCTTGAGCACTTTTTCTTTTTTTTCGTATACGCAACTTTTTCAGTGTGATCTTGCGTGTGCGCGTGAACAAGTGACGGCCTCTCGTGGCAATCTCTCTAACAACCGAGCGCGCCAAGTTCAAATTAGCCAATGGCTGATAAATGGGCAATCTACGTGTGATTTTTGAGCTCCTTCCATCACTTGTCGAGAGAAGAAAATGCAATTTTCAGCTGACTTTCATTATTTCTTGTGAATTGCAGGCTGCGTGCTGCGCTATAACATTTGGCTAGCGTGTTCTGGGAAGCCTCTATGTACTACCGATCGGCAGTGTTTTCTGACCATGCTCAAAAAGTGTTGCAAAGCCCCCTTTAAGAGCTAAGTGGCACTCTCTTGCCTCAGGCTCTGCCTTGAGGGAAATCCAGTCATCCAGCTTGAGCATGCACTTCTGCAGCTCTGACTCTTCCTCTTCTTCACTGTCGCTGTCTTCTCCAAGGCCAGTGGTCCTAGCTGGACATTGAAAGAGAAAAAAAAAGTCACACCTTTACCATAAAGGCAAAGAAATGAACGCGATAGCAAGAAATTGTAAGGTCACATGCAGAATGGAAAGCAGATCGAAATGTGTCCTGCGCTTCTCTCGCACAAATGACATACGAAACGTACTCACAGGTACAGATGCACGTGAATAAGTGTCCGAGTTGTTACTTCACTCTCTCTGAAAAGTGCACGCTTTTCGCAAATGGAGACTGCAATGACCTTTGTGCACCAGGTAACTACAACAGAATTGCTCCAGGTAAAGCCCGAGGCCAGCCAAGACATACGATCCCCCCCTCCTCCCCACTGCGAGATAAGGGGGCACGAGAGCGTCGCTCTCCTCTTCTAAGCGGGGGCAAAGTACGTATAGGGGATTAGAACACGTGCCGCCGCGCAATGTGGCGACGCGTGCTCATTGCGCCATCTTGCTGGTAATGCTGAAAACGCGATAATTCCCCCCGACATGCCTGTGAGCAGCGGTAAATGGTAGATATAAATAGCTTGCCGTTCTAGCGGTGAAGAACGTGCTCCTCGGTGGCTCAGTCGTTAACGCCTCCCACTCACGACTGAGAGAACCCAAGTTCAATGCCGCACGCCGGAGCCTTTTTCTGGGTTTTTCTCCCTTGCATTTTCATATATATAGATATGTATACATATACGGTGAGTGACGTTGACGCCAGCAGCAAAATCCAGCAGAGAGTGCCCATATAATTGCTATCGCAATAAAAGTAGATGACAAAACCACACAAAAATAACGATCGTGTGAATGCTGGCACCAAGACTTCAACAATATCGCTGTGCAAACACCATCAGTTTGAGCCCAAGCATCTCTTGCTTTGTTGCGTCTAGCTTTGCAAGACTCAGCTTTGCATTGTGGGACAGTGTGCCACATGGTGACATACACATAGCTTTTTTTTTTTGCGATGACGGCCTGCAGCACTATTACACACCAGACTACTGCGTCACCATCTGTTGCTGCACCCTGACGTAAATTACGATAAGCGAAGATAGAAAGCAGCTGAAATTAGTAGTTGTAGTGGCCATGCTTTTTGTGTGCTCTCATATAAAACTCGTTTGCTTTTTTTTTTTTCTGTTTACCATGATGCATTAAAATTTGCACGAGCATGGCAGACTCAGTGTTTGCAAAAGCCTGATGCATTGCAGCTGTTGCAGATCAAATGAAATTACAGGCTAATTCACAGCTAATGCACCCAACAGCCCAAATACATTGTGAGGCATTTAGCTGCATTTGTACTCCTCTTTCAGGAGTAAAATATCGGAAGAAATGGAGCAGCATTCATCATTGAGCGTTATATATTATTATTGAACACTTTGCAATCACTTTCCTGGCTGCTGATACTGGTGAAGGGTTGCTGTGAAACTCCCCTGAAGCTGCCACTATTATCCTTCCGAACCTCCTGGTGGATTTGCTCACGTAACTTCAATTTTATGTGACAGTACCTAGGAAGGTGTAGGTATGTGTAGAATGGGCAATGACATTAATTTTTATGCGTTCTAGAATAAGAAAAACAAGTATGCGCATGATCTGGGACAATGTTCTGCGATAAGAAGTGCGCAAGCTTAGAGGACACAAAAACAGCCTTATTTATTGCAATAACGCATCAAAATGTGTTGAAGTTGTGAGAGATGAGATGGAGTAGAGAATGCGCGTGTGTTTGGCACGGCTCTCGGAGGCTGTGTGTGGTTGACAATAGAGGACCAAGATGGCGAGAGTGTCGAGAGAACAGAAGGGGGTGCGCGGGATTACGGGAGTGGAGAGACAAGGGTATAAAGGAAGAAGTCGGACATGTTGGATCTGTGGCGCAGAGAATAAAGGATGCCAGAGTGTGTAGTGAACGTGTGGGTCGTGAAGTATATCGTCGAGTCTGACAAGTGGGGGCTCGTTCGGGATCAACATGACTACAGAGATGGACGTGGTAAATGGGCCAGAGGAGCTTCTCAACATCTCCCGAGGCCGACAGATGGCTTTGCCATACAGCTCCAGCAAATTGTGACGGCTGTCTCTAAAGGCTTGTGACAGCCGCGCCCATGCCTCAAGTCCCCAAGACGCTGGCATTTCGACTGACAGCTGACAGCATTCCGCGGTCCTCAGGAAGTCAGCCACTGAGGTTCACGGGATTCAGCACACGCAGTCACCTGAAGAATTCTTGGACTTTCTGGTTATCATCGCAGCTTTATACCACACTTCTCACTGACAGCACATTCATTCACTGTCCTGAAGTAGAAGAATGAGCCATGGCTGTGGGAAGAGGGCCAAGAGCAAGCTTTCACTGTGCTAAGGCAGTCCTTAGAATAGGATGACGTTACGAGCCTTCCAGATCTAAAACGACCCTTTGTAGTCAAAATGGATGCAAATGGCATTGGCACTGCCACTGTGCTACTGCAGGCTGGCCCTGATGGACTGCAGCCAGTTTGCTTCATTAGCAGGGTTCTCATGGAGGTCGAAAGCCACTATACTGTCCAGGAGTGAGAATGCCTTGCAGTGGTGTGCGAGGTGGACAAATTCAGCACGTATCTTGAGTTTATAGAGTTTGAGATGCACTGTGTTTACTCATCTTTACCATAGATGTTGAGCACCAAACAAGCTTCGCCTGGAGTCAAGTGCTGGGTCCTCCAGCTGCAGGGTTTCAATTTCAAAATTGAGCATAGGCGAAGGCTTGCAAATAATGTATACCCGCATAAGCCCTGAGTAGGACCACCTTAATGACAGCTTGCCTGAGAGACTATTTCCCATTGCTGCTCAAAAACCTGTAGGGAAAATTACATTTGAGCATAGCAGTTGCCTTGGAGGACGACATGACACCGTGCTCGTGACAGCCGTCTTTCAAAACAGAAAAACCGTGGTCCAGGTGGTTGTGCTCCTAAATTCAGACCCGACCCTGCTCATCGTCTTTTTCATGATCTTGGAGAAACAGCAGAACTAGAGCCAAGTGAACTGCTAGTTCAGCATAAAAGGCAACAAAAAGGTACTATTGCTGCCTTCCCACCTCCGGCATCTGGCATTGAAAATGGCACATGACGACCCCATGGCTGTTCAAGCAGGGTTTTTCAAAACTTTAAAAGGAGTGGCGGCATGATTCGCTCGCTGGGCATGCGGGCGGACATATAAAAGTATGTGCAGGGCTGTGCTATCTGTCAGGGCACAAGCTGTACCCTCGACAAGCAGCAACCAGTGCAAAAATACTGGAGTGCATGGTTCAGGTCGTCTGTCGCCATGGGACACCCCTAGCTATCACCAGTGAGAACGGGAAGCCTTGTTAGCTCATTATGGTGCAACCTTCTCAAATACTGAAGAATCAAGGATCGCCATACTGTACCTTACCGACCAGCTGAACAGATGGTGGAGCTCCACAATGGCATGATCAAACAGTCTAAAAGCATAAAGACTGGGACAGCCATATACCCGAGATCGGCCCTGCCATGCGCGCATCGGAGAGCACAGTCACCGGATATACGCACTCCAGCATTGCTTTGCTATGACAGAGAGTTGTGCACTCTGTGGGAACATCCAGGATACAAGGAGGACACAGAGCCTCCAGAAGCGGCACACCATGCGCTTGCTGCAGAACCTTGGAGACACCTTCAGGTATGCTAACAAGCACCAAGCAGCCGCCTGGCGAACTCAGAAGTCAAGTTATGATCGCCGTCAACAGTCAACAAGCATCAAAGAAGGTGACCTTGTGCTCTTGGACACTCACACCTTGAGTGATGCACCCAAGGGTGTTTCAGCCAAGTTGGTACCACGACAAGGTGGACCTTATAGTGTGGTCAAGCATGTTGCTGAAAATGACTTCATCCTCAGTGACCCAGCAACTGGACGTCGTAGCACTATCGCCCATGCTGATCAGTTGGTGCTATATCACGAACCATTTACTTCTACCGTCCGCCACAAACTCACGATTTGAAGGGGGGGGAGTTGGGATATTAAGATGGAGTAAGGAGTGCACGTGTGTTAGGAGCGGGTCTCAGAGGCCATGTGCGGTTGGCAATGGAGAAACGAGATGGCACGAGTGTGGATTGGGTGCAGGTCTCGGAGGCTGTGTATGCTTGATGTGGAGGAACGAGATAGTGCGAGTGTCGAGTGAACAGAAGGGGGCGTGCATGTGCACGCAGGAATACGGGAGGACACAGATGAGGGTATGAAGGGAGAAGCCGAATATGTTGAATATGTGGCGTGGAGAATAAAGAATGTGAAAGTGTGTAGTGAATGTGTAGGTGTAGCAAAGTGTTCAAATCTCACAAACAATCATAGTTTTGATCATGTTATAAGAACATTTTGCTCAACAACTCCAGAAGGTTTTCACACTGCACTTTAGAATGTTGTAAGCCAGGCACACCGCTAACTCAGGCCACCCTTCTAGTGGCATCATCACCTCAGTGACCACAGTTCTCTTGTTTCATTGCTACGAAGAAGACACACTGTCCCATTTTATTACACCATAGCACCTGTCATGATATAAATCCCCCCTCTAAACTTGGCATTACATATAAACTACCAAATGTAAACTTTGTTGTGATATACTAATTTACTGGGACACACCCATGTGAGCACACCGTGCCATATGTAAACTATGTTGCAATATACTAATTTGTTGGGACACACCCATGTGAGCACATCGTGCCATGTATGTGGAGCCTGCTGCCTTAGGAGCTTAAAAGGGTGCTTCAAACAATATGTGGCCATGCTTCCTACAACTGCACTAATTCTCATTTTCTGATCAACCCCTAATTTGATGTTGGCACCCAATTGTTCCTTACATCAGTGTCACTTATAAAGAGGTTTAACTGTTTATCGTACTGAACAACGTGAACTTGCCGTGCACGGAGCAGATGGCACGTGCATTGCTGTTTTGTGTGCTCACGTGGCCAGCTTTGTTTGTCAATAAACCCCTCCAGGTCTCATCCCTCTAGGCAATCTCTTGAACTGAAACAGTGACTGGGATTCCACATGTGATAGCTGGGTCATTGGCGACTTATTGCATCAGAAAAATAATAATGAAACTTTTGTTTTAATAGTACTCGTTTTAAGCCAGGCCAAAGTAGCACATACCATTTTGTGGCTCATACAGGGCATCCAGAGGTAGGCGCTGAGGGCCAGCAAACAGTGCCACCGTGACAGGTGAGACCAGCGTACACATGTTGGCAAAGGCTGTGGGCCCTGCCCTGGCCAGCTCGCCATAGATGAGCCAGTCAGTGGGCAAGGAGGCAATGACACTATCACGAGCGTTGGCTGCAGCTGCAGATGCACCCAAGCTGTGAGGATCCGGCTGGGACAGGACGGAACGCGAGCTGAACCGGACTCGTGAGGCACGCCTGTGCAGGCACAGATTATGCAGGTTCTTATGGAGCACTCTCCGACTGCAGAATTTAAAGCTGTTGCCGGGATGAAATATCTTAGAAGAATGTCTTGTTGGACGAATTGGTGGATATCTACGCAGGGAATTATTGCCCATTAGATGGAACGAACACACGAGGGAAAAGACAAAGTAAACACATCAACTTGAGTTGATCACGCTCTTTCCGTTTGCTCTGTCTCTTCCATCCTGTGTTCATCCGATCGATTGCAAAACGATTCTTTCAAAGATAAAATACTATCTGTTCACTTCTTCAGCCTGAAATCAATACAATATGGTCCTGATTCAAGTGCTCTTTGATGCTGATTGACCTCTTTAAATTAAGCTTACTCAAGGGCTATTGAATCCAACCTACTAGTGTTACATGTACCTGCCAATATTATAACAGCTTTACCATGCGATAAACCCATTCACCATACTATTTGGTGAATGTTATGAAAGATTCAGTAGCATTTACTTTGAGATAAATAAACCATTCCACATTTTCAGGATGCAAGAAGTAAGCTGTAGAAAGAAGACCCAGACATCAAATTCTAGCAAGTTGGGCTGTCCTCATAGTTCACAGTGTGCTTCTGATGCTGTAACATGGTAGTATTTTGCAGAGAAATGTCTGGGATAGTAATAGCATTGAAAACTTGTATCCGCAACTCTGCACTTCATTGAAATTCAGGTATGAACGTTACTGACAGTGCTGTAGCTGTAACATCCACTGTTCAAAAACTATATTTGCTATAGCAACATTGCTAAACTAATAATATTACAACAGAATCTCAGTAAATGAAAATCATTAAGATGGACTTAATGATTAAACAAGACAGCTGCTGCTTATTTGTCGAGTTTTGTCTCCAACTGCTGCACCCTTAAAGGGAAACTAAAGTCAAATATCAAGTTTATGTTGATTGTTGAAATAGCAGTCAAGAAACCTCATGTCCAGAGGTTTCTTGAGAAACCTCAAGAAAAGTGCTTATTTTAAAATAAAATTAGGTTTTAGTGGTTCTCATTGCATTAGCGCACTTCAAATTACCTGCCTAAAAGCGATCCTTCAAGCATCACTGTTGTAGTGCTCAACGTTGCCCTCTTTACAGAGCTGCCGCTGAAACTAGTAGCAGCATGGCGAAAGTAGCAGGAGCCACAGCAGCAACAACGGCCACTGAATATTTTCTGCTTGCTTGGTTCAATAGGGCTCCACTAGATGGCACCATCGTCCAGCCTAACCAGGCAAAATGGCACTTTTCAACCACTTGCACAATTCCCCATAGCAATGCCAGGCGATTGTTTCTTCTATACATCAAGCAGCATTTTATTATGTCTCTTTTCTTTATGGCAGCTCGTTTGATTACTAGCAATTAATTGTAGTTGGACACTCGGCTCATCGAGATTACAGTAAAACCTCATTAATTCGAAATATTCCCACGGTCCCATATTTTGCAATGCAAAACTGAGCGATTTGAAGCTGTGGTTAGCACCAGTCTGGTTTATTCGAAAACTTTGGGTGTAGTGCGCCAATTTCAGATACCGACTTCGCTGCAAATCTGCGGGAACGACAGCCCTCATGAGCCACTAGGCAACGTACTGTAGCGATACTATTAAGTGGCAGCCGAAGCACACTAATTTTGATACTTCCAGCTCGAAAAATAAATTGTAAATAAGAAATAAGAAAAAACGGTCACATGATCTACTGAAATATGCGTTCCCAGAAAAAACAAGACATGCTTCACTGCAATACTATGTGGACATGCAGGCAGCATGTCGCATGCCTCTCACTACGTCAATGTATCATGATTTACCCATTCTTTCTGGGAATATAAAGAAAAATAACGAAGGACGGTCTGGCAGAATTCGCGATGTATGTGAACCTCCGAGTGCCAGTTGCTCCAGCAATTGTCGCACTTGCCCTGGTGGCGGAGTTCTCGTTTGCGATGCCAACTTCGAAAACTCGGTTCGAAAGCTTCAGTGACCATGTTGTCCAGCAAAAACACATCATGAATTTCATCACACTGTCCATTATTAAATTTTTTATTTTACTAGAAATAATGGGCGGATGGTCGCATCATGACGTGCTTACGCAGCGAGAAGCAGGCGACATGCTGCCCACGTGTTGCTGCTGTGTTGCAGCGAAGATGTCATGTTTTTCGCAGGATCATTTGGGTGATTTCGCAGGATCATTTCACAGGATCATTTCACAGGATCAATTGGATCATTCCTTTCTTTTTTTGCAGTAGCAGCAGCGAAGCCCAAAGTTGCCCCTTGTTTGCGGGGAAATTGTCACCTGGTATTGCTGAAACACATAACCCTTGGAGAAACGAACTAGCCGGCATAGCAAATGACCTGCCCTGGTTACTTTGAATAATTTCAAGTTCCAGTAATGAGAAAACCCACCTAATTAACAAATTTCTCACGGTCCCAGTGACTTAGAATTAACGAGGTTTTACTGTAATTCGAAAAAGTCCCACTAGTGTTGCATGTCACATGATATATTTAGCCTCATTTCTCGGTAAGTGGAGCACCCCTGTGCAGAATATTGCTGTTTTCCACGTTGTCAATACGACATTGAGCTTTCACTCTGATATATATTGTCATTTGCCTGTAGTGTCCCTTTAAACACCTTTGTCACTAAACCAATCTCCAGCATACATTTACCCAATCCCTTCAGCTCCCATTTGTCAAAAATCTACTACATCACTTTGTTACCAGATCAACGAATTCATTATACTAAGCTAACTCAAATCTAAATCGTGATGCTCACAGAGTAAGCCAAAAAGCCTAACCGTGACTGCTTAAAAGTATCTTAAAAGCATCTTGAAGCAATAAAGTGGGCTATGAGGGATGGCATAGTCGAGGTTCTCAATTAATGTTGACCACTTTTACAGTCCAATCTCGATCATTCGAACTCGAAGGGGCCCGAAAATTTGTTTGAATTAAAATAAGTTTGAATTAATTAAAGCTAAGTAAACGAAGGGCTCCCCATGCAGTGGTGCATGTGCATGGAGCTAACGCACGAGGGGAAGTTTCAGAAGACTTACATTCATTCACAATTCACAGGCCATTCGTCATTAATAGAAGTAATCGGTGATGCACGTCTGCACACGTTTGCCTTGCAGCAAGTCAATCGATTTCGCACGCAGCTTGCAAAGCATGTCTGATTTGGCTTCAGCATTCTCCTGGCAAGAGAAGTTACGCACGGCAATGTCCAGCGTCGACACTCTCTAAAGTTGACGACAACAACGACTGCATCTCCGCTAATACCCTCTGCGCCAAAGTTGCAGCGTGGCCAACACGTGACGAGAAAGGAGGAGCTTCTCCATGCAAAGAAAAGCAGATCTGCAATTTTTTTGTGTGCTCTTGCCGCGAGCGTCGTTGAAAGGAGAAGGGTTACGTGGCAGGGACTGGAAAGGGAGAAGCGCTTGAGAGAGAACCATATACGCGACAGCTTTCTTTTTTTTTTTCCCTCTTTCTCTTTGCGTGCGGTGTTGGAAGGAGAAGGGTCTTTACGTGGCAGGGGCGGAAAAGGAAGAAGCGTGGCACAGGCGCATCGCAGATGGGCATTTGAGAGAGCGCAAACATTCCGCTACAGCCTTTCCTTTCCTTTTCCTTTCCTTCGCGTGCAGCCTTTAGGTGTCGCAGGTGCCGCTACGGGATTGGGCGGGGTGCCGAGAGCATTTTCGGAGCGTGGTATATTAGATTGAACCGCTGCAAGTGCTTGTGCGTTCGAATTATCGGGCATTTCGCCCATTGGAATACACATAGCTTTGACGGGACCTCACTGTGAATTAGAATTAACCGGAAGTTCGACTAAAGCGTGTTCGAATTAATGAGATTCAACTGTATTCATTGCGAACTTAAGGAATGCATGTACATTTGCGAATACATGTATGTGAATACTTGTGCATTTATTCTTGTTTTCTTGCACACTGTACTCATATTGAGGTCATTCAGATAAGCTTAACTTCGTAACTCTTTCAATTTGGGTGAACTATGGATCCCAAAATGGCACATAGAATTTAAAAACTACATATTGCATTGGAAAAGAAATCGAATCTTTAAAATTAGCACACAAATATAAAAAGACACAGCTACTTTCATTGAAATCAATAAAGAACATACAAAAAAATGTTTGCAGGTGCTGTGTCCCTTCTTCAGACAGTACTGTACTTACTTGCATAATGAACACTTTTTTTTTGAATCAGAGCAAAGTTTGGGGTGCATTTATTATGCGGAGCATATTTTATGATAATTTTTTCAGAATGAACAAAAAATGCAGTAATGAAAAAAAAAAAAAAGTTATGCCGCTTAGCCTTTTGCAATGGACATACGCGTACGCTGTTTCGAAACAGCTTCTTTGTTGCCCTTCACTCATCTTCAGTAGTTGAAGGCACTATCTTCTGTAAGCTGTCCCTTAAGCGAACCGCCAGCCAGTTCACTATGCCTCTTGATGTTCGCATAAGCTTTCAGGTCTGAATATCAGCTGAGCCAAGTTTACAGTCACAGTGCTTGCACGCCACAACTTGTTTTCCGTCCCTAGATGCTTTGCATTGCAGCCACTTGCTGAGCAAAAAAAAAAAAACCTTCAACCAATCTGTCCTAAACTGCTAACATACCACTTTCGGCATAACTCAAGAGGAAGGAGAGTCAGGTTACATGGAGAATAAACAGGAACAGTTTTCGACGAAAAGTATTCGGATGTCGCTCCTTTGTTCTCTGCTACCTTCGTAATGCAAAAAACAAAAAGGGGATGGCTGCTTTGCTAACCACCACACCTTCCCTCTGAGAGCGGGCTCGCTGTTTGCACTATGAGCGGCAGGGGGCCTGTCGAGTCTACGGCTTGCCTGCTTTTCTCTCTCCTATAGAAAGCGATTGCTTTGTCAGGGCGAAAGCACGCACAGCACGTCTTATCGAATACGCACTTTATTTCAGACTCCCTTGCTCTGGCACTGCCTGTCTATACTCAATGTGATTATGACGGCAGCGCCGGAACCCACTGAGGTGCCATCTCTAGGCCTTCCTGTTGCCACTTCCACCTCTGCCACACAGTCCTTACAGCCTCTTTGAAGCCTCAGAGATTCGTTTGTCTGAGACGAGCGCAGCGAGTGACCAGCTGCCTTCTATCTTGCTGAAATTGAACAATTTCTGCCTAGAGCATAGAATTATTTATTTATTTTTTGCAGGGCAATTTCGAATCCATGCACTGAGGGAGGCATACGCCAGAAATATGCCATATATGAAAATCGCCCTTCAAAAAATCCGCCAGCTGCAAGCAAACTTTTCCCCCTCAAAATAAAATTAAATCCGCCAGATATAGCAGAAGATCCACTAAATTGGCAACACTGGTCAGCAGTAATGCCACAGTCATTAAGACATCACGATAGCTATGAAGCATAACAAGAAGTATGCACGTTAACGGTGGTGACAAAGTGTGAAAATCATCGCTAGACAGTGCACTCACTGGGCAACCAGCTGCCGACGCTCCCGGTCAACTCTCAGGAGGTTTGGGTAGGAGCCAGCACAGAGAGCTGCTTTGATCACTGCCCAGTTATCAGAGTTGGCGTTGAGGTCACGGATGTCACCATTTCCACGAGGCCGCACAAAGCCTGATGCCCGAAGCTGGCCCAACAACTGGCCTCGTACTGCCAGTGCAGTGGACATAGTGGCACCAGATACAAAGTTCCGCTCGCAAAAGTAGTGCTCACAGTTGTCGGCATGGGCCTTCTGCCAACGCTGTAAGAAGTATGAGCAATGTTTGTGCCATGAAAGTCTATGGAATAAAAAGATCTCTGCAGTCAGCATTCTTACTAGGGCCAATACAAAAGAGCAACTATAGGCACTCAGTAAACGAAAATTTGTTAAACAGAACTGCTGCTTAAATGCAACTACTGCCTCTGATATGAATGGTCTCATACCTGAATTATGCAACTCAGTTCTGCTCTCAGTAAATGAAATTTATGTTAAATGAAACACATTTTTTGGTCCCTTCAAGTTCTATTTATTGAGAGTCTACTGTATATATAAACGTATAGGGCCAGTGAATCAGAACCTTTATGCTCCTTTTAACAACAAAAGTTGCTTTCTCATCTAACTTCACAATATACAAAAGGTAACAATAACAGCTTGGTAATTATAACAAGCACCAGTAGCAATCAGCCGAAAACACTTCTGGCGATACTCACATGGGTGAATAGCTACCACACTGATCAATAGTATTGAATTTTTTTATCACATTACTTAACCTCATTTATTACACTTTAAAGTCCCAAAATCATTACATAATGGGGGCATACTAGAGTTCCAAAACAGTGCTATGAAAAGCAAGTCGTTACAAGTTCAAAAAAGGAGACAGAAGAAACAAAAGTAGCATGTGGTAGTTCAAAGACACTAATAACTCGCTATAATAAGTGCCTAAACAGGGCAGAAGTTCACAGGAAGGTGGAAGCTTAAAGAGATGAAAAATCTTTGAACATGTGGGGTCCGTGGAGTCGACATTGACAAGAGGTTTTTTCTTCTTCTAGACATAAACTGCCTTCTTTAGCACTGAGACTAGCTCTCTCCACACTTCCCTTTCCATGTTTAGGGGAGAGGGTGAAGACACATATATACATGGCACTAAGGAAAACAGTTTTCTGCCTTGATGATGACTAAATGACTGGTCGAAACATTGGCTTAAGCAACATCCTCTGTTCAAGAATTTTACATGTTTATGGTGCATGTACATCATTAGATCAGATGGCACATTACCTGCGCTTGAAATTTTCCTCGATCCGAGCATCAAGTTGTGCTGTTAGAAAGTGTGTTTCGCAAGCCTATTGTGAGTAACAGGGAGGAGTTAATCGTCAACGCTGTTTGACCCCTTAGGCGAGCAATGGGACATTTGATGCCAAATATCGAAGATGATCTTAGAGGTCTTGCCTTATATGGTCCAAGAAATTTTACTACAATATGACAAGCAATGAGCAAACTTGAAAACGTCACCAACCTGAAATGCGGAGAGGAGAGCCATGTGGTCGCTGTAGGTGTTACCAGCCAGCTTACGCCTTGCTACATATGCAGGTCGCTTCTGGCCTGGTTGTGTGGGGAGCACAACTGATAAAAGAAGCAAGAAAAAGAAACAGCACCCACAAGCATGAGTACCGTGTTTGCTCAGTTCTAATGCACACTTCTTTTGCGGAAAAAAAAAAAAGTGCTAAAATACTACATATACAGTAAAAGCTCGTTAATTCGAATTCCACAAGAACACTGAAGAATTTCAAGTTAACAAAATTTAAAATAATTAAAGTGAGCAAAATGGGTGGATTTCGGAGGTGGGGGCACGAAAAATATTTATTGGCCAAAAAAGTCGGTGATGACCACCTGCTTCTTTTCCCTGAATGTCACAGTTGCAGCTCTCTCTTCCAGCGCGTGGAAGCGGCGCAGGGAATCCTCTTCACCCTCTTCAAAGCTGAAGAAGAGACGCTCCCCATTAAGTGCCTCCATCACCTTAAACGCTGACGGGCGCACAGGCACTTCGTCATCTTCGTCTTCCTCACCTTCTGGCTCTTCAGCAATAGGCTGTGCACCGGCACAGCTGTCTCCCTTGTAAGTGATCGTCTTGTTTGGCTGCAACTTGCAAAAAATAACATTGTGTCGTCAGCGCTAAAACACATCCTGTGGCGAGTAGCTCTCCAAGTACTGCTGCAGGGTGTCGCATCTGCAAGTAGTGCATGTTTCGGTGTCCACTTCCTTTGCCTCGCCGGATAACGTGAGGAATATGAGGTTGTGCCGCTCCCTGAAACGATGAAACCATCCCTTGCAGGCGACGAAGTCTTCAATGTCCAAGCGCAGGGCGAAATCGGCTGCCTTAGCCATGATGACAGCGCCTCTCAAAGCTCTCATTTCTTTAACCCAGATAAACAAAGCTGACTCCAGTTCCGAGAATTTCGCTATCCTTAGCCTTTTCGGACTGGCACCGAAATCCTTAGCTTCATAGGCGTTTTCAATGGCCATCCTGTTCTGGACATGTAGGTTGACAACATGCTCAAAGGTATGCCCTGCTTTCTTGCAATTTCATATTTCCTCGACTTCCCTTGGTCAACCTCTCGCAAAATCTCCATCTTCTACTTGACAGTCTCAGAGCAGTAGTTTCCTCGCGGCATCTTGCAACTTCGATGAGGAATAAGACAACTTGATGGCGTGAATGAACAATGTGCTCAAGGAACAACGTGACGCTGCTGTGTGCGGCCTAGGACTGCTAGGACTACTCCGCCGACTCCTCAGCGTCCCTCATATACAAGTGGTGCCAGGCGCTAAGATAGCGGGAGGGCGATAAAAAAAAAAAAAAAAAATTGCTCCCCCTACTTCGGAGGCCATACTTTGCGCGTACTTTACTCGCAGGCCACTTGCCCCGCCGCGATAGTCTAGTGGCTAAGGTACTCAGCTGCTGACCCGCAGGTCGCAGGATCAAATCCCGGCTGCGGCGGCTGCATTCCCGTTGGAGGCGGAGATGTTGTAGGCCCGTGTGCTCAGATTTGGGTGCATGTTAAAGAACCCCAGGTGGTCAAAATTCCGGAGCCCTCCACTACGGCGTCTCTCATAATCATATGGTGATTTTGGGACGTTAAGCCCCACACATCAATCATCTACTCGGAGGCCATTCGAAGCTAAAAAAAAAAAAAAAAAAAAAAAAAAAAAAAAAAACAGTCGTGCCACCTATTGTTTGGCCGAAAAAGCTTCCACTAGTGTTTGACGATGTTGACGCTCGGCAACGCGCACTTCGAATTATCCATAGAGGCAGCAATTTCTGTTTAAATTAATGAATCGTTTTACACATGGTCTCCTATGCACTGCGAATCGGACAGCGGCGACCGTTTCAAATTATCCAAAATTTCGAATTAACGAGCTTTCACTGTACACCATTTGTGTGTACGAGATCTGAAATGAAATAGATAATGTCAATGCTTAGCATAATGGCAAGCTGCAGCACTTACAAGGGTCTTTGACAGCAAGGCAGCAGACGATGGTGAGCACTGGGTCAAGGCACTTGAGCACAACTGCATAGAGCACCATTTTTCCCAAGTGTGGCTCGATGGGAAGGTCAAGCAAGTGAAGACCCATCTCTGTCAGCTGCTCAGATGGGTCCAATGCATCTATTGTCTGCTCCAAGAAAGACACAACGGAATCAATGTTCCAAACAATTAGATTAAAATACTGTGTCATTTGAAGGCCTTAACCAGTTCATGATTCACTCATATTTGCCACAGCCCCCCCCCCCCCAATAGCAAAAACTTTTCAACACTGCTTCAACAGCTGCTATGTTCACTTTGGCGCACTCAAACATCCACATAATGAACCCGGATACAACGCGAAGCATCGATTACAATGAAGTAAACGAATAATAGTCTTGGAATAGATACAGTAAAACCCTTGTTAAAACGAATTCGAATTATCACTTTTATCAAAGCTTCAAGCAGCCCCGACCCCAATACATGTATTTTAGACTGGATTACTCAAAGCATGTCGATAGCTAGCTCTGCTTAAAGCGAAGTTGTGAATCACTGAACAAGTTGGGAATCCGTATTCACGGTGGCGCTAAAAGTGGGTGAGCGACCACCAACCCTGCCGAAGTGCCCGCGCGCTTTTTTCATCCACGTCCCGCGCTGAGCACCTTTTTCTGCGCTGATTAAGCAATGTTCGCGCTAGAGTCAGGCTAAAGCGTGCCAGTGGAGACTGGTGCAGATGGCATGAGAGTCTCTGCGGCGCGGATTTTACCCCCCCCCCCCCCCTTCACACACAACTCCGGTACTGAGACAACTGCCGGAGGCGCTCGCTAACATGCTCACCGCTATGCCACTGGCTATGTCGGTAGTGTCACGTGACCAGTACGGAGTCGTGTTCGGAAGACACACGTGAGCGTGTGTTGTGCGAGGTTTGTGTGAACCTGTGACGTTGTGTATGCGCATCGTGTGTGTTTAGTCACTGTCAAGTAAAAATGGCACCGTCAATGCCCGCTCGAAAGTGTCTGACATTGGAGCAGAAAGTTCAACTGATATGTGAGGTGAAAAAGTGAGACAGGCAGAAGTCTTCAATCACAAGACAATTCATAATACCACTGTGAACATTATCAACTGTTCTGAAGAATAGGATGCTGTAATGGGCAGCTTCGAGAAGAGTTTCACAGCCAACCGAAAGCGCAACCGTGATTCTATGTATCCTGAAGTGGAAAGAGTGCTTCTCGAATGGCTGAAAAACGCTAGAAGTGCAGACCTTCCTGTAAATGAACCTGCACTAACTGGGAAAGCTGAAGCCCTAGCCGCCAGTGGGCAAGCAAAAGTGGGCAAGCAAGGTTTCAAGTGCAGCAATGGCTGGCTTTAATGTTTCAAGAGACGGCACGACGTGTCTTCGAAATTGATCGTTGGTGAAAGTGCAGCCATGGACTGCGACATCATGGATGGATAGCGCAAGCACCAGCAGAGCCCCCTACTTCAGCAGTACGCAGATAAAGATGTTTACAACTTGGACGATGTGGCATTTTTTTTACAAACTATTGCCAAAGCGCGCATACACTACACCGGGCCGAACTTAATCAGAATGTAAACAAAGCAAAGGACGCCTCACAGAGCTATTCGGTGCTAACACGATGGGGGAGGGCAAGCTTCCTTTGCTGACGCTGGAGAAGGCGGCAAAGCCCCGGTCGACAGCTGGCCGAAATAGTCCACTTGCTTGGAGGCCCCGATGAGAAATATGAGCCGCTAGATGAACAGCCATCCTCGCAAAATACCAACAGCGGCACAAATGCAGGAAGAGCCTCTGTCTGTTGCGAAATAGAGTAGAGTGCGCGGGCGGCGACCATGACCTCATAATTTGCCTGAACAAACTGGAGCAGGCACTCCTCGCGCCCAGCCGAAGCACTCGGCAATGCCAGCTGACGGACTTTTTTGAGCATAAAGGTCTGTTTCACTGAATACCACTTCTGGGAAGTTGTCATGGCTAATATAGCTGTGCTTGCTTTTATGAGGCAGTAGCGTTTATCGAATTACCGCTTATATTGAACTTTTTTGCCGTCCCGCTGACTTCGTTATAACGAGGGTTTACTGTATAGTGTTGGAACATATCTTCACAACAAATTTTCAGATACAATGAAATCTCGGTACAACGAACCTCACATCAACGAACTCTTAGAACTAATGAACTTTTAAAAAATCCTGCGCTGACTGCTAATAGTTTTAATGTAAAATTATTTCACTACAACGTACCTCCGAATACCGAACTTCTTAGAATAACGAGCATTAATTTAGTTCCGCTTCATATTAACAATGCCTTAGTACTACGAACTCACATTCTGAAATTCGTCGCGACCACCGGAGCGGTACGCAAGCAAACAAAACGAACGGATGCCTTGCTCTTCGGAAGACGCGCGACAGTGCGGAGGGAAAAAAAAATGAAAGGGAGACTCTTTTTTTTTTTTGTTGAAACGCCGACACTGCAGGTTTACAAGCGCAGAGGCGAAGGACGAGGGCAACACGGGAGGGCAAGGTCAGCGAGGCAGAGTTAGGGAGCAGAAAACGAAACGTGAGAAATTTTCTTTTTTAGCCCTTTTTTTTTCTTAGTCACTTCTACATGTGCTCTAGGAGGCCTTGTTTGTCAGTCGTGTTCATCGCTTTTCGGTGATTACTTATCGCGTCCGCAAAGCAAGTCGGCGTTCGTGCTGCAGTGCTACTACAAATAAGTTCATCTCTCCTTGCAATGAAGATGCGGAAGCCGTTTCTGCTAAGCAAGAAAGTGAATATTCTTCAGCAACTGGAAGGCAAAAAGCAGGCTGCTGTGACCAAAGAACCGAATTGCACCACAAGAATATAGATGAGTTCGAGGCATTCGTGCTGCAAAGTTCGTGCGTGCTCCACGCATAAGAAAAAAAAAGAGAAAGAAATAAAGAAAAAAAAACACGAACTTCTTTAAAGTAAACGTGCATTTTTTGGGGCATTCGTTTTCTCATGTAAAATGAGTTCAAGGACCTACAGTTGTGAAGGTAAGTCATTGGAAAATAAGTATTATGACTTCTGGGTTGAGACAGCGTTTATTCAGCCCAAGGGATCAGCAGCGAACAGGCAGTCTGAGACCGAGCATGCACACACCCGATGATGATTGTGGTAACACCCAGTGAAGATGAGGACAGAAACTAAGACGGATGATGATGATTATGATAATGCATATATGAGAAAAAGCGCATACCGAATGCCACATCGAAGCGGCCAACCTGGCCGTAGCAAGTCAATGTGACAGAGAACGTCGCCTGAACGGCTTCATGCAAGACACGTGCACGATCTCTGTGGTGCGGTCACGGCGGTCTGTTGGGACGACAAGTGGGGTCACACGATAATTAACGGGCGAAGTCTGATCGATAACTATGTAAGGCCCAATGAAGTGTGGTTGAAACTTGTCACACAGACCAGGTGTACGAATAGGTGTGAAAAAGAGCACCTCGTCACTAGGTCGGAAGGATACGGGGCGATGGGATGCGTCATAAATGACTTTTTGATCTTGCTGTCGTGCTTCCGTGTTGATGCGAGTACGATCGCGACACCGGGATAGTCTTGAAATGTATTCCTCGCTGGAAGACAGAGACGAGTTGACGTCACTGCTGAAAAAGGAAATGTCGAGGAAGAAAGTAGGGGAACATCCATAATTGAGGTAGAACAATGAATATCTGGTGGTGCGCTGAACGGTTGTGTTGTAAGCAAAGGTGAGAAATGGTAGAAGAGTATCCCAGTTTCTGTGGTCTGGACTGTGGTCTGGGCTATCATATCAGCAAGAGTACAATGAAACCTCTCGGTCAGACCGTCGGTCTGAGGGTGGTAGCTTGAAGCTGTCTTGTGTGTTATTCCAGAGGCGCGCAATACATCATTTAGCACTTCTGACAGGAACACCCTTCCACGGTCACTCAGCAATATACGAGGGGCGCCAAGGCGCAGAATGACGGCGTGGAGAACGAAGTTGGCAACTTCCGAAGCAGAGGCAGCTGATACAGATGTTGTCTCCGCGTAGCGTGTCAAGTGGTCTACGGCGGTCACTATCTATCGTTTGCCAGTACAGTCGAGCCCACATATAACGGCCCTACTTAAAACGAACTTTCGCTTAAAACAAACAATATCCCCGTGACCGTGAAATATACATGGATTCAATGGCACGAAATCGCACTTACAACGAACGTCTCCGAGCGCCACTAAACGGTTACAGCGAAAAGAGTCAATGGTCTGCCAGCTTCCCGGGAAACCAATTTCGAACACCGATCGGGCATCGACAAGGTGCCCATACATTCTTATTGTTAAACGCCGACCCTGCCTCCGCGACCCTCTAGTTGCCGCTCTCCCCAACCCATGGAGGAAGAAAAGCTTTTTCCTTCCTCCATGGCCCGACTGCTTTTTGTTACACACCCCTCCGTCCTTTGTCCCCCCACTACTCTGAGCACCCCGCATCGCCAGATGAGGCCCGTGTTTTCCCACTGCCACCGATCTTTCGAAGACCAATCGGCCATCTACCCTGTTTTTGATCGCTAATGCTGTCGTTGGTGTCGCCGGCCTGGAGTGACCAGACCATTTGCCAACATCGTCGACCATTGGCTGTATCTGATAGTCTGCGTCTAGTGCACAAGCGTACGCTACCCCATCGACTCTGATAATTTGAGATTCGTTTCGTGTTTAGGACTTGTTCTCGCTCACTTTGCACTCAACTCAGCGTGCCTTCCGCGCACATGCGGAAGCGCGAAAACGGCTGTTAATTTGCGCGGAATGAATCGCGAAATATCGAAGTTCGTGATTTTTTAACCGCAGCCATTGATTCTTCGAACAGCGCCGCGCGCACCGATCCAGGTGGCCATGCTTTGACTTCTGCACGCGCAGGCACTCTTCCCAAGTTTCTCTATGTGCGAGTTTGGCGGACCTTTCAAGCAAGCTACCCAAACCACCTCCTTCCCGTGTGTTTTGGTTTTCAAGGTCGCCCTCCCGCCGCATCCTCCCCTCACTTTATCGCAACTCCTTGCCCTTCTCTCACAAGTCTGCTCTCCTATATTGATCACAATCCCTTCGCCCGTCTTCACCGCTCCACGATGCCCGCCACGCTGGCTCGAATTAGTTTCGTTTTCTGACTGGAAACGGGCC